TCTGGTCTCTATTTCATTGAGTTATGCTCAAATCTTTATTAACTCTCTTCTTCTGCTTGGTGTAGGTTTTATTTGCTGGTTTTTCTCCAGTTCCTTTAGGTGCGAGGTTAGATTGTGTATTTGAGTTTTTCTAATTTTTTGAGGGATGTTTGTATTGTGATGTATTTACCTCTCAGGACTGCTTTTGCTGTATCCCAAAGACTTTGAATGGTTGTATCTTCATTTTCATTAGTTTCCATGAATATTTTTAATTCTTCTCTAATTTCCTGGTTGACCCATTTATCTTTTAGCAGGATGCTCTTTAACCTCCACGTGTTTGAATTTCTCTCAAATTTCTTCTTGTGATTTAGTTCTCGTTTCAAAGCATTATGGTCTGAAAATATGCAGGGGACAATCCCAATCTTTTTTAAAAAGGTTTTATTTATTTATTCATGAAAGATACACACACACACACACACACACAGAGAGAGAGAGAGAGAGAGAGAGAGAGAGGGAGAAAGAGGCAGAGACACCAGCAGAGGGAGAAGCAGGCTCCACGCAGGGTACCCAATGTGGAACTCGATCCCAGGACTCCAGGATCACACCCTGAGTCAAAGGCAGGCGCTCAACCACTGAACCACCCAGGGGTCCCGACAATCCCAATCTTTTGATATCAGTTAAGACCTGATTTGTGACCCAGTATGTGGTCTATTGTGGAGAAAGTTCCATGTGCACTTGAGAAAAATGTGTATTCAGTTGCTTTTGGATGTAAAGTTCTGTAAATATCTGTGAAATCCATCTGGTCCAGTGTATCATTTAAAGCTCTTGTTCTTCGGAGATGGTGTGCTTAGAAAATCTGTCATTTGCATAAAGTGCCATGTTGAAGTCTCCCAGTATTTGTGTATTATTATCTAAGTATGTCTTTACTTTGGTTATTAATTGATTGATATACATGGCAAGTCCCACATTAGGGGCATAAATATTCATGATTGTTAGGTCCTCTTGTTGGATAGATCCTTTAAGTATGATATAGTGTCCCTCTTCATCTCTTACTACGGTCTTTGGGATAAACTTTAATTTATCTGATATGAGGATTGCTACCCCTGCTTTCTTTTGAGGACCATTTGAATGGTAAATGGTTCTCCAAACTTTCATTTTCAGGCTGTAGGTGTCCTTAGGTCTAAAATGAGTCTCTTATAGACAGCAAATAGATGGCTCTTGCTTTTTTATCCAGTCTGAAATCCTGCATCTTTTGATGGGATCATTAAACCCATTCACCTTCAGAGTTACTATTGAAAGATATGAATTTAGTGTCACCATAATACCTATTCAATCCCTGTTTTTGTGGATTGTTTCTTTGGACTTCCTCTTTCTTTTACAGAGTCCCCCTTAATATTTCTTTCAGAGCTGGTTTGGTGGTCACATATTCTTTCAGCTTCTGCCTATCTTGGAAGCTCTTTGTCTCTCCTTCTATTCTGAATGAGAGCCTTGCTGGATAGGGTATTCTTCGCTGTATGTTCTTCTCATTTAGGACCCTGAATATAACCTGCCAGATCTCTGTGGTGAGGTCTGCTGTTAATCTAATACTTCTCTCCATATAAGTTAGGAATCTCTTGTCTCTTGCTGCTTTAAGGATTTTCTCTTTATCTTTGGAATTTTCAAGTTTCACTATTAAATGTCGAGGTGTTGAACAGTTTTTATTGATTTTAGAGGGGGATCTCTCTATCTCCTGGATCTGAATGCCTGTTTCCCTCCCCAAGTTAGGGAAATTCTCAGCTATGATTTGTTCAAATACACTTTCTGGTCCTCTGTTCCTTTTGGCACCCTCTGGAACTCCAAATATACATAGATTTTTCCTTCTGAGGCTGTCATTTATTTCCCTTAGCCTTTCTTTTCCTCAGCTTCCTTCCTTGCCATCAACTTGTCTTCTATGTTGCTCACTCTGTCTTCCACTTCATTAACCCTGGTCGTTAGGACCTCCAGTTTGGATTGCATCTCATTTAATTGATTTTTAATTTCAGCCTGATTAGATCTAAATTCTGCAGTCATGAAGTCTCTTGATTCCATTATGCTTTTTTCCAGAGCTACTAGTAGCTTTATAATTGTCCTTCTGAATTGGCTTTCTGACATTGAATTGTAATCCAAATTCTGTAACTCTGTGGCAGAGAGTACTGTTTCTGATTCTTTCTTTTGTGGTGAGTTCTTCTTTCTAGTCATTTTTCTCAGCGCAGAGTGGCTGTATGAGCCGGCTGAGTCAAGAATATCAACCACGACCTAAGTAAATTTCAACCTGGATGATACTGATTAGGTCAAAGAGCAGAAATTGAAAACAAAGATCAGACCAAAATAAAAGGACTACTAAAGTGAAAAGCAAATTTCAAAACAAAGTAGCAAAAAATAAAAGGCCAAGAATTCCAAAGAAGAAGGAAAAAAGAAGAAAGAAAAGAAAGAAAGAAAGAAAGAGAAAAAGAAGAAAGAGAAAAAGAAAGAAAGAAGAAAGAAAAAGAAAAAGAAGAAAGAAAGAGAAAAAGAAAGAAGAAAGAAAGAAAGAAAGAAAGAAAAGAAAGAAAGAAAGAAAGAAAGAAAGAAAGAAAGAAAGAAAGAAAGAAAGAAAGAAAGAAGAAAAGGCAGGGGGACTGGGAGATGGTGGTGATGACGAACTTGTAGTGGAGAGAGAATGTAGTCTACCTGAGGTTCTAGAGGGTGATCCTCTTGGTTCTTAGTATATTAAGATCTGTATGTTAGAAGATGCTCAAAAAAAAAAAAAAAGAAGAAGAAGAAGATGCTCAGTCCCAAATTTATATAAATCAGAAATACTTGTAGAAGACCCCACCATTGACCACCAAACATAAATGAAATAAAAGAGGGGGGCAGAATGGGAATGAAGAGAGAATAGAATTTCACAGAATGAACCAGCACGGCATACCATTTGGTTCTGGGGGCGTGCTGGTCATGTTTTAGAAGGTATGAACGTCCACCATTGTAGAACAAAATGACTCAGAGAAAACAAAAAACACAAAACAAAAAATCATATCTTGTATATCTCCCCAAATTGAGTATGTTGAAGGGAATCTAGAAGTGGAAAATATACCTAAGACCTGTAACTGTAGAAATATGAAAGTCAAAAAGGAAGAAACTTAAAAATGTAGAGGTGGTAAAATATTGTAGTTAAGGCGGAAAAAGATAAAGAAAAATTGGAAATTCAGTCTGATATAAAAACGAGTTGTACTGGAAAAAGGGGGAAAAAAAGGGAGGGGTGCCCTCTGGTTCTAAGTACTGTATATAAGTCCCTCGACTTCCCTGGAACTTTCCAGCACTCTCCCCCGAGAACTTGCTCTTCCCTTCCTTCCAGCTGGTCTCTGGGGGAGGGGCCTGCTGTGCTCTCAGGTGTGTGCACCTTGGGGAGCTGCCCCCCCTCCCCCGCCGGGTGCCGGGCTCAGTGGGAGCTGTTGACCCCGGGAGGCCTCTGTCCCCTGGCAGCCCCGCCCCTCCCAGGCACAGGGTGACACCAGGAGGGACAACAGCACTGGCGGCGGCCAGGTCCCCAGGCCTGGAGCCAGCTCCCCCAGTAACCACCCGCAGCTCCCAGTCCGCACTGGCCTGGATGCTCCGGGGCGGGGGCGCTGACCTGCACAGCTTGGGGGCACCTGGCGGCAGGAGCGTCCTCACTGTCCTGTGCCCTCCCCGCCTCTGCCCGCCCTGGGTGGACCGCAGGATGGGGGGCCGTGTCCCCGGTGTCTGGGTCTGGGGCCTGTGCTCCTGGACTCGCGCTCCAGAAGGCAGCAGGTGCAGCCCCCTCCCCCGGAGCCCCGCTGACCCACCGGCTTCTCCCCAAGGCCCCGTGGGGTGCGCGCTCCAGCCCTTTCCCGAGATCGGCCGCGGTGTGGGTGCGCTCTCCCCCGCGCACCCCTCCTCTCCTAGTGACCCCGGGAGCCTGGGGGCTCCACCCTCCCCCCCCCCTGCGATCCTGCCCGAGTTCCCTGCTGAGCGCCTTTCCCTGGGGAAGAATCCGGGGCGGATTGTTAAAGTTCCTGCTTCTCCGGGGCGGGACTCTCCTGTCCTGAGGCTCCCAATGCCCACCTTAGCCCGGCTTCTCGCGGGGGCCCCTCTCCCACTGAACTTTTTCCCCCTACTTTCCTACCTTGTTAGAAGCAAACCCTTCTCTCTGTAGTGTTCAGGATGTCCTCTCTTTAAATCTCAGGTCAAATTCATAGGTTTTCAGGATGATTTGAGAGTAGTCTAGGTAAGCGGGGGGGGGGGGGGGGCAGGTGACTTGGGGACCCTACTCCCCTGCCATCTTCTCCAGCCCCAGATAGCAAGATTTAATATCATTCAGTTGCGAATTCTACCCAAAGTGACCTCCAGAGTCAATACAATCCCTATCAAAATCCCCATGACATCTTTCGTAGAGAGAGAAAAACCCACTCAAGGGTTCACGTGGACTCTCAAGCTACCCTGAAACAGGCAAAACGATCTTGAAAAAGGGAAACAAAGCTAAGGACTCGTACGCCCTGAGTCCAAAACATAGTACAAAGCTACCGTTATCAAAATGGTGTGGTTCTGGCCTAAAGACAGACCCAGGGCAGTAGACTAGAATGGAGAGCCCAGAAAAAAAAAAAACCCATATATATGGCCAAATGATCTTTGACGGGGGTGCCAAGGCCAATGGGGGAAGGACAGTCTCTTCAACAAAAGGTGCTGGGAAAGCCAGACATGCATGTGCAAAGGGATGGAGTTGGACTTGTCTAACACCATATGACACCTGCCTCCCCAAGTATCAAAGGACGAGGTGTTAGAGCAGGCTGCAAGGGCGTTTGAGGTGAGGGCTGCTCTGTGGACCTAGGAAGTACGGAAGAAAGACGTGTTTGATGGAGAGGGAAAAATTGCTGGCATTTTGGAACACCTGCTTTGTTACAGGTGTTTTGCAGAAATGGTTCCACTTACCCTCCTAAAATTCCTCTGAACTAGGTACTGCTTAGCATGACAAAGCCCATCCTCCAATCTCGAGATGGCCACTGGTGTGAAGCTCATCATTTTATTTTATTTTTTTTAAGGATTTTATGTATTTGAGAGAGAGAGAGCACAAGTAGAGGGAGCAGCAGGCAGAAGGAGAAGCAGACTCCCCACTGAGCAGGGAGCTTGATGCAGGACTCGATCCCAGGACCCCAGGATCATGACCTGAGCCAAAGACAGATGCTTCACCAACTGCAGCCAGGTGCCCATTAAAAAAAAATGTTCTTCCTTATTAAACATCTCTTCAAGACTTAACATAGCAATGGGAGCTCCCCGCAGCCAGGGGAACAGTACACATTAAAACCGGTATCACTCAGGCTCATTTCTCCTGGGGGCTGGAAACATGACGACAGTCAACAGTGGGAAGCAGGTGACACTGCCTCAAACCACCAAAGTCTGGATTTAAGCCATAGCGCCCGTCTCCATCATTCATTTGTTCAGCGAGATACCATTTATGAAGGGGCTCCTGTGTACCAGGTGCCATGCAAGATCCTGGAAATGCCAAAGAACAGTAGGATCCTGACTCCCCACCCCTCTGGGGTCCTACGATCTAACAAAGAATGAGAGCAGTATTTGAGAAGGCTCAAGGACTGGAGAGCCACCTCTTCAGGGAGGTCGGAGGTGACCGCCCCAGGTGAGTGCGGACTTCAGATACAAACTCTGGTGCTGAGCACAGTACAATGAAAATGGACACCGGCGAGAGCAGGAAAGCCTGGTTCCACATGAAAAGCCACTTCTTGTCCCCCTCACAGGGAAGGCACATAAGAAACCCCCCCCCCAAAAGCATTGCTGCCCCTCCATGGACCTGCCCCCTTTAATTGAAGAACGTGTAGAGTGCGCGCCGCGCCTGAGCCAGCCGGTAAATTTTCTCCTTGAGGAATCTCCTCTTGGTAGAGGTGTCGGTGTGCTCCTGAAGCAGCCAGGAGTACTGCTCTCTCTCCTGTAGTATCTGCATCATGGCTTTCTGCAAGCAACTGCCGTTCTCTTGGAGCACAAAATACTGAATTATGAATGGGATCTGGTTGGCGAGACGTTTGCTGGTTTCCTGGAAGAAAGGGTGGGAAGGGTTAGCTGGTGGGGTCTTGGTCTGTGTCTGCAGGGAGGCCTTGGGATTCTTGGATGCCTGGGTAATTGCTTCGATAAGTCCTGGTGGTCCCGTGCACCCCACTCCAGGGGTCAGCGTCAAACCACGGGAAGGTTCTATCTGGGCAGCCGTAGATCTACCACCAGGTATCCTCTCGGGCCTTCAGGAACCCACCTGGCAGGCTAGCAAATGCACAGCACACTTCTGAGCATCCCAGCCTTCTTGGGAGCCCTGCCCGTCTCCCCCCTCCACCTCCACTCCACCTCCCCAGGGAGACCTCCAGGCCCTGCAATCCCCTGGCCCCTTCTGGGAGCCGATCGGGACCGACTTCAGTGCCCACCTCCTTCCCTGTCTGCATAAGTAGGTCCGGTTTGCCTGGCAGCTGGACCTCACACTGGGGTAACTATGTTCTATTCTGATTAAGAGAAGGCTTCAGGATGGGGGCCCGGGGGGCTCAGTTGGGTCAGTGTCTGACTATTGATTTTGGCTCAGGTCATGACCTCAGGGTGGTGAGATCGAGCTCCACATGGAGCTCCACGCTCAGCGAGGAGTCTGCTTCTCTCTCTCTCTCTCTCTCTGAAACAAATACATAAATCTTAAAAGAAAAGAAAGAAAGGTTGGGAGTTGGGCTCCTTTGCAGGCTAAAAGCTATCTTCCTTCCCATGCAGCCCACATTTCTGTCCGTGGACAGAGGTTTGGAAACCCTGGAGGCGAGCAGGTCCCGGGATCCAGGGAAAGGAAGTTTCGTTCCTGTTTCGTGGAGCTGGTGACTCTGAGGCCCCGGGTGCCTTCTGGACATCAAGGAAAGCTATGTCACAACTAGCAAAGTCAGTGCTTCTTGTATCTGGCTGCATTCCGCTCATAGCAATTTTGTAATTCGTGCATAACATAAAATATAAAGATCTCTGTGGTTGGAATTCGTGTTGAGTGCGTGCTTTGCCACATACAAAACGTGACCCCCAGATTCCCAAATGAATGAAAAGTTCCCAGACAAGGTTCCTGTAAAACTCTAAAAGAGACCATGTGTGAGCACCTGTCAACGCAGAAGGGGCTTCATAGCCGGTGGCAGCCCTTCCCTCCCTCGCCCAGTGAGGCAGCTGTCAATCGGGACGCCCGGTCCATGGGGCAAACACCCAGGCCACTGACCTACACGCTTACCAAGAAATACGCATTCAGGTGCACCCCGATCTCAGAGTTGGATGACACCGAAGGCAGATCTTTCGAGAAAGGAAATTTCAACTGAAGATCCTGCGCAGGCTCTCCCACTGGGTTGAAAACCTCCTCCCGGACCTTCTTCAGAACCACGCTGTAAATCTGGTCTTGACAGTAAACCAGCTGCTCCATTCTGAACTGAAGTCGGATCAGATTTTCTGCGGTTTCTGCCTGCCTCATTTTTATGTCTTCAATCTTGTTCTGGTTGGATAAGAAAGAGAAGACGCGTTACTTCTTTTCTCCCTCAGGTTGTTTTTTTTTTTTTTTTAAAAAGATTTTATTTATTTATTCATGAGAGACACAGAGAGAGGGGCAGAGACACAGGCAGAGGGAGAAGCAGGCTCCATGCAGGAAGCCCAATGTGGGACTCGATCCCGGGACCCCAGGATCACGCCCTGGGCCGAAGGCAGGCGCTAAATCGCTGAGCCACCCAGGGATACCCTCCCTCCAGTTGTTTTAAACCTCGGAGGAAGCACTATCATGTTGAGACAGAACTGAATATAATTTAAGGTCACCAAAGGCCTGCGATGTTATATGGTGACTTTGAGGGGGCCCTGGCACCCCGTGCTGGTATCCTCAGCCATCCTGTGACTCGATTGACATCTGTGCTTTCCAGAAACCCCGTGACTCCCACGTCACCCCCACAGTCAGAGGCATTCTGGGAAAGGAAGGGATGACGTGGTGGAGAAGAGACCCTTCTTGCAGTCAGGAGCATTGTGGGGATCGCCCAGGGAGCCAGTCGCTGAGGCCCAGGGAAGAACGGGCTGCTGGCCTGGAGAAACGGTGGTCCAGGACCAGGCCTGTCACCCATCCCCTGGTGGGGCACCCAAGGGCTCAGATGCAGCCCCTGGGAGAGGCAGAGAAGTCAGAAGTCAGACTGAGTTTTCGCCAACTGGCCAAAGATGTATAAAAGGACACATTCAAGCTATTATCGGAAAATGGGAGAAATTCTTTTTCCTGCTCACCTGGGCTGTGGAGTCCGATTCAGACCCACCTTGGGCAGAAGAGGGTCTTTATCTAGAGCTCAGGGGGGAAGCTGGATGCCCCTGGCTTCCCATTACTGAGAGGGGAATCTGAGTTATTTAAGTGGAAACCCACCCAGCTGTGGCAATATTGTTAAGTCCAGCTTATAAAGATTTAGGAGTAGGACTAGTGGACAATTCTGTCCTTTGTAGTACAAAGAGAGGCAAAGAACCGGTCAGTGCCCGGGTACAGTCGGAGGCTCAGAGCACGACCCCCGAGCCTACATCCTGCTGTACTGCAGCAGGTCCTGCGGAAACACAGCTCAGCCGTGTGCTTTGTTCGGCTCTCCCAGGGAGAGCGGGCGAAGCCTGCAGCCACCACCTCGGCCTCGCATTTCTTAACGGCGGTCAGTATCCCACTTCTTTCAAAGGCTAGACCCAGATAAAACAGCCAGCAGTACGGGGAACGAGCGCGAAAACCGCGGGTGCTTACCTGGGTTGTTTGACTGAGGTTGGAAAATTCGCTAAAATGTTTCTTGGCTGTGTCGGTGAAAGCTTGCCAGACAATTTCTGACCAAAGGAAGAACAAAGCATCAGTAGGCTGCAAGCAGGAATAAAATGGGCTAGAGACGCAGGGAGGGTAAGTCATGGTACGTGGACCCCATTCCAACACTGAGCTCCCCAGATCTACAGACCGAGAGAGGAGGAGGGGACGGTACATTGTCCCAGGGAGACCCAAAATCCACCACCACCCAGAACCCACCACCCACCCCGACCAGGTCCTGGCAATTTCCTGATCTTTCCTGGAGTGTGTGTTCTCTCCAGGTCTAGCATCTGACTATACCTCACATGGCTGCCTAGAGGGCGAGGAATAACTCGACAACGCTCCTGTGCACTCTTGTCTTCCCCCCAAAATGAACAAAGAAGATCTTTATGGTTCGTTTGATCATTGTATCCTGATCCTCCCTCCAAGGCCTTGAACCCTACGGAAGGTACTGGGCTGACACGTGAAAGGCACCCATGAGCGCTCCTCACCGATAGTCTTCTGGAGCATGGTGAGCGCGGGCTCCACCAGCTGTTCGATGTATTGGTGCACTATGGTCTCAAATGTCTTGTAGTTGACAAATCCAAGAAGCTCTTTGCCGCGATACTGCTTTTCATATACTGAGACTTCTTCAGAAACGATATTTTTAACTGCAACGTAAAACAAACCACCAAGGTGAATTCCTTTTTTTTTTTTTTTTTTTTTTACCAAAGTGAATTCCAATAACTCCACAGACATTTCAAAAACAGAAACTTTTTTTTTTAAATTTGAGTCTTGCTTACCCACTGTACGAGCCTACATTAGGCAATATTTCTAGGTGGAGTTTTTTTTTTTTTTCATAATGAAAAAAAAAAGGTATGGTCTGATAATACTAGTTTAAGAAACAAAATTGTTATCCTATGAAAACGGGTTGGAGTTGAGGGTCATCACACTGAGAGATGAGTTTCGAGTTTGTAACTGGTGGGAAGCACCGGATGAGTTCAATGAAAAGAGAAATTTAAATATTACGATGGCTCCTGCAGATCTCCCAAGGACATGTCCAGGGTACAGTTGGAGCCTGAGTTCATGGATGTGAACAGTGTTTTTATCAGGTGCCTAAGCAAGGATACAACACACACACACACACACACACACACACACACGCACACACCCTCCAGGCATCTAGGCTGTAGCAGATGCTACTTCACTAGGCAAGGCAAGGAGATCTCAAACCACAGAGCTCTTCGGTCTTGCATCGGGGTGAAGACAGACAGAGGAAGGCAGATGGCGTGAGTGGAACTGTCTAGCCTCAAAACAAGGAGGCAAGAAGGGGGTTACAGGTGGTGGACTTGTCTTTTGATGAGGGCAAGGCTGGGAAGCAGTTCTCGGTTGCTGAGGGGCCCACGGTGTCCCGTGTGGGTGGGCACGCTCAGCTGTTTGCACACCTCCTATGTGCCAGAAGTGGTCTCTGGTCTTGGTAAACGTGACACCGTGTTTCGGGGAGACATTTGTGGGGGAACCTTGTCCCAGGACGTACCTTTTTGGGTATTGGCCGTGAGCACGAGCACCCAGTGTTCAAACTCCTCCCGGATTTTGTTGTATAAGCGAGTCTCATTCTCCTTTACGACTTCTTCTCCCTCTATTAGCTTTTCAATGTCCTGATTAAACAACTTGATTTTCTGAAAATGAGATAAAGTCATCAACCTGTGCTGGAATCGCATCAAAGAGCTGGGACCTGCCTGGGGCAGCAGCCTGTGGGGTTGGGGGGTGTGTGTGCTACAAGAATGTCCGGTCAGCCACCCAGCCACCCCATCGTCCAGGCAGGACAAGTGGAGGGCAGCTCCCTGCAAAAGAGGGTTCCCGGCACGCCACAGGCAGGGACCCACAGAGGGCCATCTCCAGAGATGCGGGGCCACCAAGGGGATCACGAGGGGTCCCCGGACATCCTCACCTCGATCAAAAAGAACATTTTATCGGCTTCATTGCTGGGGATGCTGTCTCCACACTGGTGCAGCTCGTCTGTCGCCCTCTGGTGACTCTCCCTTATTTGCTTTTCTAACAACGGGAGTGATTTCTGAAACAAAATGAGAGCAAACACTGAAACTCTGCAGCTTGATCAAACGGGCCCACAGGTTTCTTAGGGACATGGGTGGCATCCCATGGGAAAGGATTCACGGGGATCCCGAGTTTCTATTATCGTGTGAAGCTTGTTGAGACGGGCTCCTGTTAAAGAGCCCGAGGATGGCTTTGCATTGCACGCCACGGGTGTGCACTTTGGCTTGAGCCATCCAGTGTCGGCATCTGTTGGCCACTGGAGTGGGGAGGACTCTGTGGGGGGCAGGTTTTGGGTTGGCGGGGTGCCCTGTATTTAGAGACCAAGCAGGGGCGCCTGGGTGGTGCAGTCGGTCTTGCCTCTGACTCTTGGTTTGGGCTCAGGTCGTGATCTCAGGGCTCTGTGCTCAGTGGAGCGTCTGCCTGGGGTTCTCTGTCCCCTCCCCACCTGGGTGCCCTCTCTCTACAATAAATGAATAAAATCTTTAAAAAATGTTTTGGGGGATGCCTGGGTGGCTCAGTGGTTGAGCCTTTGGCTCAGGGCATGATCCTGGGGTCCTGGGATCGAGTCCCACGTTGGACTTCCTGCATGGAGCCTGCTTCTCCTTCTGCCTGTGTCTCTGTGTCTCTCGTGAATAAATAAATAAAATCTTTAAAAAAAATTAAAAAAATTTTGGAGAACAAGTACACTTGAATATAATGCAAGCTTTCCTTGGTAAAATGTTCTTTTGGTGATAATTTGAGTATAAACTGATAAACATTAAAAAATAAAATAAAATAAATAAACCAATAAACAGGGGCACCTCAGTGGCTCAGCGGTTGAGTGTCTGCCTTCAGCTCAGGGCGTGACCCCGGGGTCCCGGGATCGAGTCCCGCATTGGGCTCCCCACAGGGAGCCTGCTTCTCCCTCTGCCTGTGTCTCTGCCTCTCTCATGAATAAATAAATAAAATCTTTAAAAAAATAAACTGATACACGATACTATGGTAGAGGATATGTCATGGATGTGGTGCCAGGCTGGCTATTGTCCTTGATGGGGGGACAGAGGACTAGCTGAGGACAAGGCACATCGACAAGTCCTTGAAATAGGCAGAGGGACCTTCCTCTACGGACTCACCTGCCTGGATGTTCATACTTTGCTAAGGGCAGAAGGCAACCTCAGCCCGACCCCCAGGAGCCTGTAGATCTACTTTAACATATAAAAATTCCTTTAGAAATGTCCTTTATCTCTAAACCCCCAAGATACGTGTTGATGATCATCCCCAAGCACACGGCCCACCGATACACATCTGAAGGGTCTCATGCCTCAGATTTATTAGAGGGTAATCAGTGACCTTTGCCCAACAATAGCTGCCCCTCAGGGTCCTGGAAACCTTGCTTCCAAGCTTCCTTCGAGAGGACGCCATCCTCAAACCCCTCCCGACTCCCAAGTGTATAACCAGCCTCCCCTCACAGGCCCGCCTGGGGCAGCCGCTCTTCTGGCCCACCGGCTTCCATAAAACCCCCATTCTGCACCAAAGATGCGTCCAAAATTCTTTCTTGGTTGTCGGCTCCAGGCCTCACCTCATCCAACCTCACCTAATTCCAAAACATCATCAGTCCTAACAAATCAATGATGCCAATGCTAAGGAAGAGGAGGAGGAGGAAGGGCAGAGAGGTCCTTGGGCCAAGCAGCATCCTGCACCCTCCACATCTCAGCTAAGCCCCGCACTGCAGGACGGAGCACGTGGCTTTAGTGCCTCTTTGTTTTACAAGAGAGGAGCCTGAGGCTTGGAGAGGCTTAGTGCCTGATGCTGTCACCGAGGGAGTGAGTGGTGGCGTTCGTTCCGATGCACACCCTGCCCACAGCCCATGCAGGTGACACAGGCCTTGGTGACCAGCGACCCCAGCTTCCACTTCGGTGAATGAGGTCACTGCAGCCAGCTGGGCAGGAGGAGGAGTGCCTTGGGGTTTTTTATTTTGTTTTGTTTTTCTTAAAGCCTGCAAGAAACTTTAGTTTTTTACTTTTTTAAAAATTTAAATTCAATTTGCCAACATATAGTATAACACCCAGTGCTCATCCCATCAAGTGCCTTGGGGTTTAGGGGCAGTTTGTGGATTAGCATTCCAAGGCCGGGTAAAATACTGATGAAGATGGATGACACCAGGAGGTAATAAGGTCTCACGGGTGCTTTTGTCTGTTTGTTTTCAGGCAGTTTGAACCTATAGTTTCAGATTTAACATTTAACCTTTAACATGTTAAATGTTTCCCTGATATTTCAAATGATCATTATTGTAATGGTCTCATTATGGATTTTAAAAATTCACTTTAAAAATATTAGATATAAAAAAAATAAAAAATAAATAAAAATAAAAATATTACAGATGTAAAATTAAAGTTTTACTGTAAAATATTTAAATGCTGATAAATATATTGCCAAAAATAGTTATCAAAATGCAGTGTCTTGAAATCTCACAGAGGAAGACATAGACATGGCCAACATGCACATGAGGAAATGCTCCGCATCACTTGCCATCAGGGAAATACAAATCAAAACCACAATGAGATCCCACCTCACCCCAGTGAGAATGGGGAAAATTAACAAGGCAGGAAACCACAAATGTTGGAGAGGATGCGGAGAAAGGGGAACCCTCCTGCACTGTTGGGGGGAATGTGAACTGGTGCAGCCACTCTGGAAAACTGTGTGGAGGTTCCTCAAAGAGTTAAAAATAGACCTGCCCTACGACCCAGCAATTGCACTGTTAGGGATTTACCCCAAAGATTCAGATGCAATGAAACACCGGGACACCTGCACCCCGATGTTTCTAGCAGCCACGTCCACAATAGCCAAACTGTGGAAGGAGCCTCGGTGTCCATCGAAAGATGATGGATAGAGAAGATGTGGTCTGTGTATACAATGGAATATTACTCAGCCATTAGAAATGCCAAATACCCACCATTTGCTTCGACGTGGATGGAACTGGAGGGTATTATGCTGAGTGAAGTAAGTCAATTGGAGAAGGACAAACATTATATGGTCTCATTCATTTGGGGAATATAAAAAATAGTGAAAGGGAAAGGGGGGGGGAAGGAGAGAAAATGAGTGGGAAATATCAGAAAGGGAGACAGAACATGAGAGACTCCTAACTCTGGGAAACGAACTAGGGGTGGTGGAAGGGGAGGTGGGCAGGGGGTGGGGGGGACTGGGTGACGGGCACTGAGGGGGGCACTTGACGGGATGAGCACTGGGGGTTATGCTATATGTTGGCAAATTGAACACCAATTAAAAAATATGTAAAACAAAAAACAAAATGCAGTGTCTTCGTAAAAGCAAAGTTTCTATCAATTAGATGAGGCTGTGTCTTTTGGACAGGGGTATGTCTTTTGAAGCCCTCTTCTGCAAACTAAGAGGGTTCCACTGGAATTGGGGCTCCTCAGAGTATGTTCCCTGGATCACCTGGGAAGTTAGAAATGCAAAATCATTGCCCCCACCCCACCCCCTAGATTTACTGGCTCAGAAACTTGGATGGGGGCCCAGAAATCTGAATTTAAATAAGCTTTCCAGGTGACTCTTGTGTGCAGTTTGAGAACCACTGGTCCCTTCCAACCAAACATTGTTGGGAGTATGTGTTTCCTGGCTCAGAAGAATTCCTTGCTTTTGTTTGACCTGCTGGTAAAATAACTGGCTATTTCATTTTCAAGGTCAACAAAGTGTTAACCAACATATTGCAAAAGGACACCTTTGCTAAGTCAGTGTTCATTCCTCTTACCCTTCTAAACCGGCTTACAGCTTCCCTCCTTCCTTTGCTACTTCTCCAAATGGACTGATTCGGCAATTGGCTTCAACATCACGCAGCAGTTGCTTCCAGGTTTTGGAAGCTCTACTGGGAACCTCTGCCCATGAGTGATTTGGTTTTCAGAATGTGCTGGTCTGGTGGCGTGTGTGGGCAGCTCAGTGGGTGTCTCAGCCATCTCATGATGGAGGGACTTGGCTAGGCTGTCATTTTTACGACTCACGATCCAACCCACTGACTCACATTGATGTGCAAGATGAGCTCCTTGGTAAGTCTTTCCGCCAGACAGGGCACCGTGGCCTTTCCTTCCTCCAGGAGAGCTCTGAGACAAGACAGGAGACACAGGCGTTCAAGAAAGATGCTGGTCTTGATACTGTCAGGGAGACCTCGCTGACACAGAGTCGGGAGGCCAGAGCGGTAGATCCCATGCCACACGACTGTCCAAGAAGTGTCACTGCTGGGCCCAGCAGAAGACTCAACAGGGGACAAGCATCAACTACAGACCCCAGCAGGAAAGGATGTGGTGCACTGCCTCTCCTGCAAGCAATCGACCGCCCTTGCAATTCAGCCAAGGAAAAGCCATCAGCACTATAAACACTTGCGTTTCTCCCGTGGACCGAGTTCAAAACAGCCCGATTTCCTCCATCTTCTCCATAAAATAACATTCCTCTCCTTTGTTTGTTGGACTTGCCTATGGTTTTGCCAGAGTTTATCCCCCCCCCAATTGCAACTCTCTGTTATTCCCAAATAAATTCGCTTTTGCTGAAAAAAGAATTCACTGTTTTATTTCTAAGGTCCACAACCTATACGCTCATTTCTCCTATTCTGGGCTTTATCAGCTCCCTGCAGTGACACATGCCATCAGAAAAGCCACGTAGTGCATTAGAAATACAAGTGCTTAAAAAAAAAAAAAAAAAAAAAAAAAAGAAAGAAAGAAATACAAGTGCTAATGATGGCTTAGCCCAAACCTAAGCAAGCATGGTGCTAGAGAGTTACATTTCTTTTCTTTTTTATCATCTCAATAAACTCACAGGGTAAGTCATCTTTTTACCTACAGGAAAACAAAACAAACTTCACTTCATAGAGGATAAGTGACTTGCCCAAACTAGTATTTTCTTTCTTGTAACAAGTAATTATTTTTGAATAGCCAAATCAATCTTGATGAAGAAGAAAAAAGCTGGAAAAAAAAAAAAGCTGGAGGCATTATACTTCCTGATTTCAAATATATATATTACAAAGCTACCGTAATTAAAACCATGTGGTGCTCGCATAAAGACAGACGTACAGACCAACAATGGAAGAGGACAGTGAGCCCAGAAATAAACCCTCACACATGCAGTTAACTGGTCTTTGATGGTGGGAAAACCTCTCTCTTTGCTGTATGATGATGGAATAACTGGACAGCCACGTGCAAAAGAATGCAACTGGATCCATATGTTACACTATTACACAAAAGTATGACTGAAGGCTTGAATGTAGGAGGTGCCTGGGTGGCTCAGTCAGTTGAGCGTCAGGCTCTTTCTTGATTTCAGCTCAAGTCATGATCTCAGGGTTGTGCGACTGAGCCCTGTGCTGAGCATGGAGCCTGCTTAAGATTCTCTCTCCCTCTCCCTCTGCCCCTCCCCTGCTTGCACTTACACATGCGCTCTAAAAAAAAAAAAAAAAAAAAAAGACTTGAATTTAAGACCTGAGATTGTAAAACTTTCAGAAGATGGGTGCCTTGGTGGCTCAGTCAGTTGAGTGTCTGACTCCTAACTTCAGCTCAGATCATGATCTCAGGATTGTGGTATTGAGCCCCACACTGGGCTCCACACTCAGTGGGGAGTCTTCTTATCCCTCTCTCTCTGCCTCTCCCCCCTTCTCATGCTCTCTCTCTCTCTCTCTCTCTCTCTCAAATAAAGTCTTGGGGGAAAAAAAACTCTTAGAAGAAAACATCAGGGGAAAATCTTCATGATACTGATCTTGGAAATGATTTCATGGATATGGCACCAAAAATACAATCAACAAAAGCAAAAGTAGATAAGTGGGTTACATCAACTAAAAAGCTTCTCCAGATCAATGGAGACATCCAACAAAGGGAAAAGCAACCTCCAAAATGGGAGAAGGCACATGTGAACTGTATAACTGATAAGGTGCCAGTTTCCAAAATATACAAAGAACTCCCACAATTCAACAATGACAACAACAATAAAACCCTAAAAACCCAATTAAAAATGACTCAATACTTGAACAGAGGTTTCTTCAAAGAAGACACCCAGAGGGTCAACAGGGACACGAAAAAATGCCCAACACCACTCGTCATCTGGAGAATGCAAATCAAAAGCACCACTTCACGTCTCTTAGGATGAATGTTATCAAAAAAAAAAAAAAAAAACCCACAAGTGTCAGCAAGGACGTGGAAAAACTTGAACCCTGTTCACTGCTGACGGGAATGCAAAAATGGTGGAGCCACTGTGGAAAGCAGTGTAGACATTTCTCAAAAAATTGAAATATGGAACTTGCATATGATCCAGCAATCCCACTTCTGGGTATTTATCCAAAATATCTGAAATCAAGATCTCAAAGAGATCTTGAGCACCCCGACATGTGTTACAGCGCCATTCATAAGATGTGGAAACCACCTAAGTGTCCACGGGTGGATGAAAGGATAAAGAAAATACACACAAGAAGGACATTCTGACATCGGCTACAACAGGCAAGAATCTTGAAAATATTACGTGGAGTAAAATAAGCCAGTCACAGAAGGGCAAATACTGTCTGACAGCGCTTACATGATCTGTCTACACTAGCCAAACTCCTAGAACCAGAGAGTGGGATGGTGGTGGCCAGGGGTTGGGGGAGGGGAAATAAGGACTTGCTCATCCCCAGGGGCAATATTTCAGTTGTGCAGGATGAATAAGTTCTAGAGGTTGCTGGCCAACATGGTGCCCGTAGTCAACAAGACGCAACTGTGCACTTAAAAAATATGTTTAGAGGTTAAGCGTTCTTGCCACAAGAACATTTTAAAATCAAATTTTAAAAAATGCACATGGTGCTTAGTAAGCAGCGGGCACTGTTCTAAGGGCTTTACAAAGAGTCATGTTCCGAATCCGTGAACAACCGATTTTAAGGGCGCAGGAGGTTCAGGAGCTTGCCCAGGGCCACCCATACACCAGGAGGTCTGGCTGCAGGGTGTTTATGTACACGAGTCAGCGAGGATGCCACAGGAGCGCTGCTCGGGGGGCTTGTCATGCGAGGGCTGAGTCCCGACACGTGGGAACTCAAGGATTTACATTCAAAGCACGAGCATAAAAGCATGTCGATGCGCTTTCTCGTCCAGGACTTCGCTTTCCCAGGGACCTTGGGGGGAGGGGGCTGCTCCGAGTGTGGTCCCTGCCCCAGTAACACTGGGCTCGACTAGGGACCTGACAGAGACACAAATTCTTGGTCCCCGCCCCGGAGTCGAGGTGGACACAGAAATTGCATACGCTTCTCTCTGTAACTTGGCAGCCACTTGGCTGGTTCTGGACGGCCGTCCTGGGATTGTCCTAAAGAAGCTCACCTGAAATACGGATGTGTTCGGAAGAACATCATTTCCTTCTCGGTTGCCTCAGCCAGACTCAGCTGGTTTGTGATCTCCTCCTGGCCCCGGCACCTCACTATCATGTAGCCCTTCTGGAGATGGTACGTGAGGTTCTGCACCACGTTCACCACGGTCTTTTCGGTGCCCCTGTCCACTAGATCTGGTTTGGTCAGGACTCCTGTGACGTGAGAAGCCAAAGACAGTGGCAAGGTCAGTCTGGTCCTCAGATGTGTTTGAACGCTGCCAGGCTCTGGGATCCTTCTTCGGCCAAGACCCGTGGAGCCCTCTGGAGCTCTGATGGCCCCGTGCCTGAAACCACATTCGTGCGTTCCACGGCCATCCCTCGGATCTGCGTCTTTATTTGCTCTCCCACTCGCTCAGCCCAGCCATTTCCTCATATAACCTAATGAACAAACGCGTCTGGGTGCCAGACACCTGGGCGGCATGCGACCTCAGAACTTAGCGGCTCCACCCTATTCCCAGCAGCAGCTCATCCCCTGCTGTACGGGGTGGAGGGTGTCTGTGTCCCCCTCTAGCGTGTCCTGTCACAGACTCACTCTGCCCTCTTCGTGTGGGTGGGTGCCTCCTCGGACATCGTCTTCTCTGCCTCCGTCTCCCCCATCTGTCCCCACACCCTCCCACTTAGATTGGATTGAAAGCTTTGAATTCTGAGTATCTATTTCTATTCGTGTTCTGGAGGTGTCAGATTGCCACTACGTTGTTTTTTTTTTTTTTTTTTTTTTTGGTCTGTTTAGGGTGGAAATCTAATGTCATCTTCTACTATCTTTGTCCTTGTTTTTGATTTGTGGTTAAGTCTGGCCATCTGGTCTCTCATTTCCTGAAACCTTCCTGGCACCCAAGCAGTTGAACTTCTCTCTGAACTTCTCTCTCTCTCTCTGTTTTGCCTTCCTATTACCAAAGGTTGTCATTAAGAGCACACCTTACATTCATTAAAAGATTTGTGTGCACACAGACCTTCGTGTTCCCAAAGAAGCCGACAGGTCTCTGAACCTGCACCTGCAACCTTCCATCAGTAGAGGAGAGGACCCCTCCTTGGAGCCAGCGGTCACTCAGGAAAGCCTAGATCGCTGAACTATATTCTGAGATAAAGTAGGCAGATAAGAAAGAGTGAGGCTTGCAATGAGTTCTCCCCCTCTCTGGAGTCAGGGGGTCTTCTCACCCAGTGCCTCAGTTTGAAGCCAAGAACTCAAGCAGGGAAAATCTCATGCCTCCATCGACAGCCTCCGCACATGAGCATCACCTAGGGTCCCAACTACTGGGCCATGGAGAAAGGCACTGTCAATAACTTTTAGATGCCTTAGTTTTCTTCTTTTTAAACTCTTTCCTGAGTAGATTATATATTCATATTGAATTTTAAAAATGCTTATTAAGCACACTGCCTTAGGTATTGAGAAAGTGGCAGTGAACAAGACTGCAAGTCTCTAATTTCGTGGCTATCCTCTCACTTTCTAGTGGGTAAAAGCCACATAAATTAGTCCAGTAATATACAAGAAACAAAGAAAAAGTATCTGATATTGAGAAGTGCTAGGCAGAGAGTTAAAATCCAGTCATGCGTTGGTCAACCAGCGCAGGCAGGGGGGCATGGTGCAGTGTTGGGTTGGGTGGACAAGGCAAGCTGAGATCTGCAGGAGAGGAAGGAGCCAGCCCTGCGAGGATGCAGAAAGAGCACTCCGGGCCCTGGAGATGACAGCTACACTGGAGACCAGTGGGAGAAGCAGAAGCGATGACAACCACGATCAGAGAGGCATAGGGAGCCAGGTCATGGAAGGCTTTGGGTTTATGGTTTATGGATGTGAGGTGGTAACATTAGTGTAGAAGCAGAGGAGGGGCCTGACTTTGTTTACCCATTTAAAAACCAGTGGAGGGTGCACTGTGGGCAAGGTGAGTGCCTGGAGACTATAGGAAGAGGTGTGAGTCGCCCAGGCAAGAGATGATGGGGGCCTGGTCTAGTGGTGACTATGCAGATGGAGAGCAGTGGACAGACTTGGTATTAGTTTTGGAGACAGAGTCACCAGGACTCCAGCTGAATTAGCCATGGAAGCAGGGGAAGGAGGAGTCACGTGTGAGTCAGATTTGGCTCTAGAACTGGCAGGGTGGTGCTGTGAGTGAGGTGGAGAAGCCATGGGAGAGAGATGAATTGAGGTAGCGCGGGGTATCAGGGGTTGTGCTGTGGTCACATTACCCTGGAGACATTTAATAGACATCCAAGTGGAGACATCAAGCCTAGGGAAAGGTAAGGGTCACAAATTTAGACCTGGGAGTTGCCAGCATACAGACGGACTCAAAGCTGTGGCCGGATCAGCTCGCCTAAGGAGCACGTGTGATAGAGGGGAGAGCTCAGAAGCAAGTTTTGGGTTTCCGATATTTCGAGGTCAGAGAAATGAAGAGACACCCGGACAAGACTAAGAATGTGACCTCCAGTGGCCGGTGAAGGAGGAGATGGAGCACGTGTGATGACCTTGAAGCCAAGAGGCTGTGCGTTAAGGCGAAGGATGGAGAGATGGCAAGAAGGAAGCAGTGGTGAGCCGTCTGACCGTGTCCGAGGTGGAGAAAGATGGGGGACCGAGGAGCGACGGCAGGCTTGTTGGCATGGAGGGCATCGGTGACCTTAACAAATGCCACCTGTGTGCCATGGTGGCCACAGGAGTCCCGCCGGAGTGGGCCGAGTAGACAGTGTGCACTTAGCAGTGGAAGGTGGAGGACCCGCCTCGCGGACCGCCTGCGAACATCCTGGCTCACAGTCCTTCCTGAAACTTGGTATCATGTAAACCACCGCTACGGTAGTTGTCACACTTGTTCTGTTTTCACCCTTTGGAAGTACGGTGTAGATAGTCATTCGGCTCTCTTTTTAAAAAATTGTGGCAAAATACACCTAACGCGTGGGGGCAGGAGAATAACCCAACTAATGAGAATAGGGTGCTTCCTCCTTCACTCCACCTTCAGTTATCCTGTTTTTAAACACTGTGTGTCTTTATAAATTGTGGCAAAGTCCACGTAACATCAAAGCGACCGTTTGGGCCATTTGAAAGGGAACAGTTCCGTGGCGTCCAGTTACTCATTGTTGTGCAACCCCCTCTGCCAGGATTGGTTTTCTTCTTGCAGAACTGAAACTCCGCATTCATCCACTAACTCCCAGTCGCCGCCCTCCTGTAAAGATACTAATGTCCAGGTAGCTGACCCTACTAAACGGATGATGTTACCTACCGTGGCCATCGGTGAGCCATCCCTCCTGACCTAGGATTGAGAGAGGACAAAGAGCGTGGGCCCTACAATGACCGGGGTGACCCAAAGCCTGAGTGTTCTCTCTGGTGCGGTGTGTTGGTGATGCTTGGAGAAGTTGACAGAGAACGGGGCACAAGCGTGGTCTAGCGTAGAGTGAAACATTATTCATGAGGTGTGTGCCCCTCATATTCATTTCCAACCTTACTGGAAAACCAGGCCTTTATTTGGGAAGGCGCGGGAAAGGCAATTATAAGCCGAGTATGCATTTAGTCAGGGGAATGACCTGCAAACCTGCAGGAGGGTCAGCTCTCTGGGTAGGCGGGATGATCGGTGAAGAAGGGATGCTGAGTGATAATGTCACTAATAAAGAAATAGCAGCTATCAGTTGCTGAGAAAACACGACGCGCCCAGACCTGAGTACCATCTTCACGGAGTCCTCCCAACCACCCAGCACATAGGTAGGACTGTTAGTCCCATTTCATGGATGAAGACAGTGAGGCCAGGAGAGGTTAAATATATTACCCAAGGATACGCAGCCAGTAGGTGCTAGATTAAGGATTCGAACCCCAGACAGTGCGCACTCTTAAACCGAGTTCCCTGTAATTTCCCTGTAATGCCTTCTAGGGTGACTTTTTTTTTTTTAAGAAATTTAAGAGAACCTAGCTCCCCGTGAAGAGTTCCACTTGAATACAAATCCTGCAGACTCCGGCACCCCAACATCAGCCCAGTAGAATGTCCACCGAGGTCCGTAGGAAGGTCTTTTCCACGTTAGGTGGCAACAACCTTACCTGCGGAATGGCGGAGCTGGTGGGCCAGGCTCTTTCTCCTTTCCCGACCGTTGTGGGAAACGGATAAGGCAGTTCTTGCCCCACATCCGGAATGGTTTGTGAATGCAAACGGGGGATGAGAGGAAGGAGGGTGGAGAACCTCCAAATTCTGGCCACGCATCTAACCCTGGCTGTGGGTGGAGATAGCCACCCGCGGTGTGTGAATGCACCCTGAGCCCACGGAGCTCCTGCTGGGAACAGTACTTGCCTCTAATAGTGCTACGTTCTAGGACCTTCTAAATATATAAGAAGGCTCCCCTTCCCTCCCGTCATCTGGAAGCTTGGTTCTGTCTTCTTACCTATGGTCCTGTCTCCTTTGGGGTCCACCTCCTGAGCCATGCTTAGCGCCTCCGTGGTGGCGATGTCCACGTTGCAGGGGACCACCACCAGGTTGATCGTCTCTTGCTTCTGGATGTACTTCTTGATGAGTGCCTTGATCTGATACCAAAAAACAGCAACAAAAACCAAATGACACAAAGGAAGAGTACGTACGTCTCCGGTCAACCAACACCACAAGGGAGGCAGTCCAAAGCCCCCGGGGCTCCCCACGAAGACCCAGAAGTCTCCCCATCTTCAGCTTGGCCCATTCCCAAGTTCCAGAAGGCCTACCTGCACTCCGATGTCCTGGGGCTGATTTCCCACAGCCACCCTGGTGATGCCGGGGAGGTCAATGAGGGTCAGATCGGGGACCTCAGGGGAGGTGATCTCAAGACTGATGAGCTCATGGCTGATGCCAAGTCCCTGCCCAGCTACGATGTTCTGAGCTGTGGAGGCCGAGAGAGGGGAAACCCAGAGTCCAGATTAATGACCCGTCGGAGGAATAGCAGTTGTAGGGGTCTCTGGGGCCACTTCGGGGGCTATTGAACACATCAGCCTCCCTGAAAATCTGGAGGAACACATACCAATATGTTCACAACGGGATACGGATGGCTTCTAGTCTCTCTCTTTATGCTTTTTAATATTTTCCTGTGAGTGTTAATAATTTCCACAAATTCTTCCCCACTCTTCCCTCCAAAAGATGAAGCCCTGCATGGGGGCTGGACATAGGGACCTCTGCCTAAAGATAGATAGGGTGGAAGTGATGGCGTGTGACCAGCAATAAGTACATCGTGACCGCCGCCTGCTTTCTCTGGCGTGGCTCACCCTGGGGGAAGCTCGCCTGTCCTGAGGACACCAAGCACCCCCGTAGAGGTAATAGGGTTCAAAGACAGAACAAAGTTTTCTTTTTGAGCTGGCCTCGAGCTCTGCTGGTGCAAGAGGACGGTTTCCGCCCTCCCAGAGTGTGGCCAATGGGTGGACAGGGTCCCTGGGTCCGATGTCCAAAGGCACGACGCACAGTTGTAACAAAAACCCAAGTGTCAGCGAAGAGGGCCCCTCAGTGCCATCGACGGGGAGCTTCCAGCACCCCTGCAAGCCGAGGCTCAGCGTGCCGAGAAGTGACATGCAGATGGGGATCCTGGGGATCTCCACCCCAGGGCTTCGCAGAGCACATCCCAAGGCCGGAAGGAGGACATGGAGGCATCGCTGAGCATGTCTCCCCCGCCCCACTCCCCCCATCACACCCCAGCTGCCCTGCTGTACATGCACCTGGCTTGTCTGTCACTCACAGTAATGTCCCTCGGGCAGGCAGTGGCCACCAGACACACCAAGGGTATCTCGCCCCTTCCCGGGAGTAGCCCCCTGTAGGGACGCTGGAGTCTTCCCACAGGCTGTCAACTTCACAACCACGACAGGGACCAGCTAAGATGTCTTGGGCACACACCTCAGAGCCAGCACCTGCTTCATGCACACGGGGCCCGAGTGGTCACGGGGTAGCCCCGAGTTCGGAAGGGTCCCCTCCTGGTTTACTAATCTGCTTTCAACGGTCTTGAAATTCTTAGTGATTCTGAACCGAGGGGTCTTGCAGGGTGACTGCGCTGGGCCCCTCAGTCATGCAGGTGGCCGCGCTCTGGGCACAGGTTCTTGCACTCCACGTGTGTGTGGCCCATCTGGGAGCCTGGTTAAAGTCCAGGTCCTGACCTGGCAGGTCTGGGGTGTCTCCCGGAGACTCTGCAGGGCCAACGAGCCCCCAGGCAGTGTTGCTGCTGCAGATTGGGGGCCACACCAAGGGGCTGGGGGCTGGACGACTTGGGGAAATCAGAACTGAGATGGATGGTCTAGGTGAGGGGAGGTTTTGATGGTGAATATCAGGATATGTGGGACACACATGCCAAAGACATAGGGGTTGCTGGTCACCCACTCGGCGGGGAGCATGGAGACATAAGGACAATGCTCCCCAGTCCCCTGGCCTTGTCCCCGAGGGTGGCCTCTGTCCTCACCACCTCCCTGCCTCCTCCACTTCTTGGAGTGAGCCCCGGATCCCCCATGGAACAGGCAGTGAGGCCTGGAGTATCAGGGCTGCAAGAGCCCTGGGGGTGGTCATCTACATTCAGGGGTGAGCACAGGAATTGGGGGCAGGACGTCTGCCCTCTGGAGGAGATCCCTCTGCTGAGCCATCTGAGGCCCTGGGACATGGGATTCTCGGGGAGCTGAGCCCGGGGAGTGACGGGAAGGCCTCGCCCTCGCAAGCTGTGTTTGTTACCAGTCACAGGACCCCCCACCCCACCCCGCATTCCGAAAGGCCTGCTCCCGGTTTAATAATGCGCTTTTATGCTCTCCAGAGCAGGGCCTCGGGACAGCAACAGCGGTGACCAGGACAGCAGGGAGTCCTGCGGGGGGCACTTCCCACAGGAGGGGGCAGCGTGCGAGGCAGGAGGAGCAGCCCGTGGAAGAGCCTGGAAGGAAAGGCAGCGGGCTCGCTGGTGGGGACCAAGAAGCCGGAGGACCAGGAGGCAGAGAAGAGGCCAGGACGGCGAGGGAGCAACCCCGGAGCCGCACCTGCAGAAACCCGGGCCTCCTACCTTGGCGGATCTCCTTCTCCACCTGGGAGGGGTCCTGGAGCTGCAGCTCCGTCTTGCGGTAGCTGATCCTCCCCCTCCACGCCTCGTGCGGCTGCCTCTTCAGCTTCAGCACCAGCGGGCACCGGGTCACAATTCCTGAGACAGCGTCCCGAACATTCTAAGTTCCCTTAAATAGGAGGGTTCGCGGGGCCCCCTCCTCTCACCCCCTTCCCCCACCACCCCAAAGGACCTGCCCCAGTGTCCCCGTCTGAAATCTCGGTCCCTCGCCAGGACTGGGTAGCGATGGGGGGCCTGGACTGGACGGGCACAGAGGGTCACAGGTCCGAGGACAGAGGCGTTTGGAGCTGCCCCCGAGCTCTGTTCTCTGTGGCCATCCAGAGCCTGCAGGCCACCATGGCCACGGTCCCCGCCACGAAGCTGTGAGCTGAGGCTCTGCATGTCTGAGGCCCCCCAGGACTCTTGGGCTGGAGTCGCACCTCCGGCTTTGGCCGTGGGGCCTGCACCTGTCCAGCTGGCTGCTGCAGGCAGAGGACAGGTGGAAACGTGAGAGCAGTGGGATCTGTCCCCCCACCTCGAAGTCCCCTCACCCCGGGGGTCGGAGGGTGCGGGGAGAAGGCAACAAGAGCCAGGGCAAGAGTCCGGACATCCAAAGGAGGCGGGTCAAGGGCGTTCTCAGGGCGCCGTGTGCAGCCCGAGCTCAGAAAGGCTGGAACCGCCCAGAGCTTCTTGGGCGAAGCCCCGGGCACTGCGTGTGTCCTCCATGTGCTGGCCCTTTAAGGGCTGCATCGTCTCCTCCTCCAGCCTGGGGACAGGCCCAGAGCCACACACGTGTCACTGGCCTCCAGACCCTCCACTAAGCTGCACCTCTGCCCAGGATGCTGACTCCAGGGCAGAGCAGAGGAGCCACTGCTCCAAACCTTCCCTCTCTCATGCATCAGGTACCCGCAGGGCTGAGCAGGACCTCACAGGACACCCTGACGTCAAGGACCGCACTGCCAGTGGCCGGGAGAGGGTGCAGGCCGGGGTGCCCGGTGGGCAGCCCTCCGGGGTCCCCACGCTCTCCTCTGTGCCTGGGGGTGGCCCAGGCGACATGGCATCGGTGGCCCCCAACCCCTGGGTTCGGGTCGGGTCTGGGACCAAGGGAAGAGACCAGGATGGAGCCTCCCCCCAACCCACTTGGAGGGTACCGTCTCCTCCCTGCCTTTTCTCTTTATTTCATTAAATTGTAAACATACGACAGCCTCTTAACTCCACACACTTAATTTTTTTCTTAAAGGAAAACAGTGGGGACACCTGGGTGGCTCCGCGGTTGAGCATCTGCCCTCAGCCCAGGCCGTGATCCTGGAGACGTGGGATCGAGTCCCACGTCAGGCTCCCTGCATGGGGCCTGCTTCTCCCGCTGCCTGTGTCTCTGCCTCTCTCTGTGTGTCTCTCATGAATAAATATATAAAATCTTGAAAAATAATAATAATAAGGGAAAACAGTGTGTCTTAGCACACTACGATCCAGGCTAATCACTTTTCCAAACATCTAGAACATTCTTCACATGTCACCCGAGACTCTACAAACTCCACGTGATCCAAGAAACGTCTCCACGCTCTCACGGAGACCACTGGGAAAATGCCTCCACTGACACAGGCCCAGTGAGAGCTACTTGGTGCCAAAGGGGGTCTGAAACCCAGGGGCAGCGGGGACCCCCCCCCCCCGGCCCCGCCAACCCGGGCCACGCGCTGAGGACCTCAGCCTGCCCGGGCCTGTCTGCAGCCGCTGGTGCCCCAGGGGTGCTCCGTGGCCCGCGAGCTTACCGCTGCCCCTGGGGAGGGCGACCCCCGACAGCGCCTCCAGCACGGAGCTCTTGCCCGAGCTCTGGTCCCCGATGACGGCGATGGCCGGCAAGGCCAGGTCCTGCTCCACGCCCAGCGCCCGCAGGGAGTCGATGAGGTCGATGCAGGGGCGCACCTTCTGCTCGTACTGGCTGTACAGGCTCTTCTCGGGGCCCTGGAAGAGGCACGGCACACTGGGCAGCCTGGCCTCGGAGGGGAGCGTCCTCGTCGTCGGGACGTTGTGGCAGGATGGGTGCCTGTCCTGACGTCGGGACGCGGACAGGAGGTGGCCGTCCCCCCTTCAGGGAGGACCCCCTCCCGCTCCTCTTCCTGCAGGGGCTTTGCTCCTGCTGATGCGGGGATGGCCAGGCTGGAGGTGCCCCGCTGAGCAGGGCCCTACCCAGGGCGGGAGCTCCTGGCCAGAGGGAGGACCAGCAGCAGATCCTGGGCAGCCGCGCGGGGGCGGGCTGGGTGGGCATGGGTTAGCAACGGGGGCCCCACATGGCCTCGTATAGCCCTGTGACCACAGACACTGCAGGAGAAGCTCCCCCTGCAGGGAGGGAGACCCCAGCATCTGGAACAGAAGCCCCAGGCTTGTTGCCCCAGAGTCTGGGTATGTCCCTGGTGCTCGTTGGAGGTGCCTGGGAGACGGCAGGGCACCAGCTTTTCTGGTGGGATTGGACCAGACTCGGCGGGTTTACGGTCGTGGCTGGGGTGCTCACCTCCGGCCAGCGGCTGGAACGCACCCTTCCGGAAGCCCCTCTGCATGACCTACCTTTGCCATCTGTTGGTGCCTGTTTCCTCCTGGTTGCTGGGGGTTCAGTGTCAGCAAATTGAACTCCTTGGTGAGATAAACCGGATCCTGCACTCCCACCTGACAGTTTGGGGGATACATCATTTGTCCTGCTGCCGTGTCAGATGGCGGCGGCTGCTGCTGGACAAAATTCATTTCTTTTTCTGGTTGCTGTCGGGGAATAACAACATTGTGCCTCCGATATGGCCAAGGATTGTGGGCCTTAGACATGAGTGGTCACGTAGTCCGAGCCGGTGGGAGTGCTCCCCGTTGCTCAGCACCTCCAAGTCTCGGCGAGTTCTGCAAAGACACAGGGTGCAGAGTGGCTCAGTGTCCCCAAGCAGTCCCCTCCCAGGCTGGACCTTTGCCGGCCCCTGCCTGGCCCAGCCCCATATAACCCACCCCTGCATGGAGACACAGGCCAGATTGGGTGGGGGCACAGGCCTCTGAGACCTCTGGGGCTGGGGTGGTGGGGGGTAGGGGGAGGAAAGGGGCAGGGGACACCTGCTGTGTATCGGTTTGTTATACTTTCAAACCCACTTGCTTGTGAGTTACGTGATGTTGTTTAGATCTGGGGGGTGAATCTGCTTTCATGGAGGAAGCGGTGTCACCACGGACACCTGTTGTCCCTAAGCAGTGGCTGCTGATGGGCACCACTGGGGACTTAATGATAAGAACAGAGAAGAGCGGGGCACCCGGGTGGCTCAGCGGTTTACCGCCGCCTTCAGCCCAAGTCATGATCCTGGGGTCCCGGGATCAAGTCCCACGTCAGGCTCCCTGCATGGAGCCTGCTTCTCCCTCTGCCTGTGTCTCTGCCCTTCTCTGGGTCTCTCATGAATAAGTAAATAAAATCTTTAAAAATAATAAAGAGGTGGTTAAGGCAAAACGAGGTCCTAGGGGGTGATGGCCCTGATCCCGTCTGACTGGTGTCCTTGGAGGGAGGGATTAGGACAGGGACGCGCACAGCGGGACCAGAGGGACGGCCGTGTGGAAAGGTGGCCGTCTCCACGCCGAGGAGACAAGCCTCCGGGGCGCCTCCACACCTTGAGCTTGGACTGCCGTCCTCCAAGACCTTGAGAAAATAAAACTGTTGTTTAAGCCACCCGGACGGCGGCACTTCGTTTATGGCGGCCTAAGCAGAGTGACAGGAGGACCTAGTATGTGTCGTGTGCTTTCAGCCACGGGGATGCAGATAAGGTGCCCGCCTCTGGCCCCTACATTTGGGCAGGGAGACGCCCCAACCCCCCTCCCCCCAGACAAACAAGCCTTCCAACCAAGAACTCTTCAACAGTACAGCTCCCGGCGATGATGGCATGTGTGGAAGAAAGGCAGGCCCGAGACTAGAAATAATTGTCCCTGAACGACTGCCAGCCGGGCAGCAGGGGGTGGGGGCGGCGGGGGGAGGCTCTCTTTGAAGATGTGCCTGTAACAGGAAATAGGCTGAGCAGAGGAGTGAACCTTGGAGGGGGCTGGCAGGCAGAGGAAATGCAGGTGCAACGGTCCTGTGGTCAGGATAAGCTTGGGGAATAGGAAAGGGTTGGTGTGACTCTGGGCATTGGGAGGGTCATCACCAGAAGGTATGGCGGAGGGCCAGGTGACACTGTGAGCTGCTGAGTGACATGATGACTACTCACAGAGTGGAGCCTAGGTAAGGAGGGCAGGTGGCATGGATAAGGGGCAAGGGCACGGCGAGGCACAGCGATCACACAAAGCCAGCGTCCCAGGTTTGGGGCCGACTGCCACCAGGCCCGGGGACCCAGAACTCTCTCCATCCTGGAGTTCTTCTCTGCACCCTACGTGCTGACCTGTTGAATTCTCACCACCGCCCTGTGCTCCCCAGGATCTCGCATTCACAGGTGAGGTCGCGGAAGGGCGGGGTGGCCGGCCGCTAAGCTGACACCCGCCCCCAGGTGTGTGTGTGTGTGTGACACAGAAGTGGTCACCTACCACCTGCAGAGCGGCCCTCGGGCGCCTGCCTGGGTCCGCCCCGCCCTGCAGCTGCACTGGGGGCTTCCCTGAAGCCGCAGTGGGCCACCTGCCTGCACCTGCCTGCACCTGCCTTCACCTGCCCGGCTCCCCAGCATGCACCACCCTGCGGGTGAGCCGAGTAAACCCTCTGAGGCCAGCTCTGACCCTTGGGGGCTGTGACCACCTCTGTCCCACCCCTCAGCCGGGCACGTTCCTACCTGGGTCCTGGAGGCCCACTCGCGACGGGGCCCATCGCCCTCCTGGGGTTGGCTGCACTTGCCCAGACCCTGCTCCCCACACACCTGCGCACGGGCTCCTGCCTTAGGCTCTGCTTCTGGGGGCGGGAGACGGAGCAAAAGCAAGGAGACTCCGTGGTTCGCACACCAACTGGCGGCACCGTCTCTCGAAGATGAACTTCACGATCTGATTTCAGGAAATCGGATCCTCGGAAACCAGGGTTGGTTTTGACACCCGTCGGCACTGGACGGGGGCCTGGGGGCCAGAGTCACCGTGGGGGTGGCCCTGTGCAGTCTTCACCATGACACGCATGGCGGTGCCAGCGGGCCGAGAGCGGTGGTGTGCTACGGGCTCGGGCCAGGCCCCGCCGGCCCAGGAGGACAGGCCCAGTGCGGGCCCACGGGACCGGGGCGTCTCGGGGCCGCTCCCTCCCCAGCTGTGTGGGAGCCCCTGGGAGGAGGCCTGCCCATTTCTGTCTTGTTTTATGTTCTTTAAAAAAAAAAAAATTAAGCTTTAGGAGTTCAGCAAAGGAGCCACTGGAAGCTCCCTGCCAGGCTTTGTCTCTCCGCCTTCGAAGCTCCCCGTTTCTCATGGAGGGGGTGCTCGGAAAGCCGGGTCCAGGGGCAGCTCGTCTGGGGGGGGAGGGGGCCCTGGCCTCCCTGGCATTGCTGGGACTGGACCTGACACTTGGGTTCGGGCTCGAGGGAGGCAGGGAAGGCGCTGTTCGGAGGGGCCAGCCCCGCGGGAGGAAGCCCCGGGAGGCCTTCAGGTAGAAGACTGTCCTCTACCTTCATCTGTGCACCTGCAAAGTCACTTGCTCTCTACTTGATTGTCACCTGTCACCTCGTGACGGCAGGGACTGTCTTCTGCACGCCGAGCCCCCTGCTCCAGGGCATGCGGCAGGCGGCAGGTGCTCCTGGACTCGGGGCCGCATGAACAAACGAGGGAAGGGACCGCTACCTTCCCTGCAGTGACTGGAAAGGCCACTGTCCCAGGGCAGGATTCGCTGGCGCCCGCTGGGCCATTCCTCTCTGCCAGTCCCGCTCGCGGCGCGCTCACGAGGGCTCAGGTAGGTGTGCGAACTCCCAGGGCCGTCCACACCTGTGCCAGCTGGTGCCCTGAGCCAGAGCTCGGTCGTGCCCTCTGCTTACGGGCAATGACAGGCTCCCCTGGAGGAGACACTTCGTCTATACCGCCAGCACCCTGGTTTCCTGCGCGTGTTCTACCCCGCGCTGTTCGCATCCTGTGCCAGCACCTCCGGTCCCCCCTGTGGGTGAATGTTGAGCACCAGACAGAGCAGAAACTCAGGAGCTGAGGATGCCCAGGTGCCCCCCGCAGCCGGCCCGGCCCAGTGGTGGGTGTCCCGCGTGGACGGCCCCCCCTTCTAAACACACCGCCTGCCTCTCCTGCGCAGCAAACCCAGTCGTGCACCTGTCGGGAGAGGCACATTGCCTGGCGCTGGCTTTCCAGAAAGAGGCTCTCAGAGCGTCCCTCCCTGTGACTGGGGACCAACACGAATTCCTGGGTATCTACGGGGAGTTTGCTTCTTCCAGGTTCCCTTCACCTCTCTGAGTTTGAGCCTTTGATGTTTTCAGTATCTGATGCTTTTCCACTCGACCATGTCCCCGCCTTATCCTGCTGCCCCGCAGAATCCTGGTTTCCCCTGACGGCCGCTTCCGTCTACCCCTCAGCAGGTTCAGAGACCCTGCGACCCTGGGCCCACTGACACCAGCTCTTTTCGGGTTCCCCGGGTCCGGTTCCAACGTGGGGGTTCCCCTTGCAAGCCCAGGCAGTTCTCAGACACCGGCAGGGCTCAGCTCCGACCCTGTCTGCCCGGAGATGGCATCGGACCCCACGTGCAAGGCCCAATCCCCCGAGCCCGCCCCGCACCCCCCTCCCGACGCTGGCCCCACGCCCCCGGCTCCCACATGAGCCTCTGCCCCGCGCCACAGATTGGAGCTCCTCGGCCTCCTGCTTTCACGTTGCTGGAGCGGCTCACAGAACTCCGGGCAGCGCTTACTAACCAGCCTGCTAAAGGATGTGATCGATGATATATATGAACGAACAGCCAGATGGAGAGACGTGAAGGGGGTGGGGGTCCCAGGAAAGGACGGGGAGCTCCCTTGCCCTCCCCTGCACCCACACCCCGCCCCTACAAGCTCACCGACCTAGAAGCTCCCTACCCAGCCTTCATTACACAGGCAGGACTGACTGAGTCATGGACCACCGGGTGACCCAGCCTCCAGCCCCTCTCCCACCCTGGAGGTTGGGGTGAGGGCGGGACCGGAAGCTCCAACCCTGCACCCACGTGGCCGGCCCTCCGGGCACAGCACCCGCCCTGGGGTGGGGGCCAGAGGTCACCTTCATCAATATAACAAAAGATACCTCTATGACTCTCAACACTTAGGAAATTCTAATGGTCTTTGGAGCTGTGAGCCAAGACCTGCGGACGGAGACCAGATATATATGAGAAATATCTTTTGGTCATCTGGATGGTCAAATATGTGTTTCCTACAAATCACAATATTGTACCATGTAAAACGTCTCCGTTTTTTTTTTTTTTTTTTTTATGTAAAACCGACCTCAAGGACAAGTCCGTCGGTTTACATAAGGAAATCATTTAAGTTCTATTAGCTCCGTGATATAAATACACAATAAGTGACTTTGCAGAGGGTCAAGCTGGAGAGGTTGGCTCTCCGGGTGAATCGAGTGCTCCCCTTCATCCAAGAGTGAAGGATGCGATCCATCTGGGCACCCCCCTTAGCGGCAAGGAGGCTCACAAGCAAATCATGGGCGGTCTAGGGTCGTGGGCATTGCCGTGCTTCTTGGCTCCGGTCCCTAGTGTCTCATCAGGTCTTATCCTCGTTTTATGATTTTGCAAGAAGTGAGAATTTAGGGGTCCCTAGGAAAAGGAAGTTGAGCTACAACTTTCTTGACATCAGAAAGGTCATGTTAGGCCCCGGCCACCCCGGGATCTAGGCCTGACCAGCACTACTTCCCCGAAGCACGTTTCTTCTGGAACGCCCTGGGATATGTGGAAATTGCACAAGAATAGACGCCGGTAGTTTAGGATTTTAAGGCAAGAAAAGAACGAAAGAAGCAGCAGCCACTATGAAGCCAGGAGAGAGCCTCGTGGGATCAGGGACAGTCAATCCGTCCCGGCGTCGGCTCAAAACAAAGATTGGCCAACACGCTCCTGAGCTGTCACTGCAGGATCTGAACCCCCTGAGTGCTCAGGTGCCAGACCAACTGGGGCGCAGAACTGACGGCGTCGCCTCTGGCTGGCCCCGTGGCTTCCGTCGCCCAGCACCCCGACTCTGGCGCTTAACATGGCTTTTGCCCCTGGGGCGCCTGGGTGTCTCAGTCAGCTAAGCACTGGCTCTTGATCTCAGGGTCTTGAGTTCGAGCCCTGCGTTGGGCTCCATGCTGGGTTGTGGAGCCAAAAAAAAGAAAAGAAAAAAAAAGATGGCTTTTGCCCCAATTGCACGCTGCGCTCCCCACTGCACGAGCCCCCTCGTGAACATGCAAGCGCCCCAGCTTAAACCTTGCCCAGTTGTGTTGTTTGAGGAGGCGCTGCTTGGGCAAATAGCCCCCGTGTTCCCCTTTGCTTCCTCCAAGGACACCCCTCCTTGTCCTATTCTTTGGCTTGGTTGGTTGTGCCCTTTGGCTCCCGGAGGCCAACAAGGGGCGAACCCATTTTCGGTAACAGTTTTATGAGCAATTTACAGCAGGGCAGGCGAGCGATGGTCTTTAGGAATCTCTGCGTTCTCTGCCTTTCCTGGTGGGAGCTGGCGGGTGTGGGAGGAGAGGTCTCAGCTGAAGACACGGGTGTGCAGAGAGAGGCCGGGGCAGTGCAGAAACACCGCTCCCGGGATTCGTGTGCGCAGCAGGATGGAGGCAGCACGATCCCATCAAGCGAGCAGCACGGAGTTGTCTCTGGTGAGATGGACAAGATAAAGGGGGGCACGCACGGCACAGCGTGCCAGGGAGGAGGCGCACGGGCAGGAGAAAGATGGCCCGTCTGACGCGGGGATCACAGAGGCTGCCCTCAGAGAGCGGATTTCCTTCCCTCCTTCCTTCTCGTCGGGTGGGAAAGCACCCAAGGGGGACCCTGCGTGCCCCCACTCCCAACCAGACCCTGCAGGGGGAACGGGCTGCAATCTGCTTACAGGGGTTGAACCAGCAGCCAGAGGAAGAAGGGGTCCTCAGGGTAGGTAAAGGGTGGGATGCTAGGAGGACCCAGGCCGAGGATAGGAGGAGGCGGACCGGAGGTCAGGGCTCCCTGGCCCCTGAGGACGTGCAGTCTGGCCCGAGGGACAGCAGTTGGGGGACAAGGGAATTGCTTTACATCATCCCTGAGACTCTGCCTGCATCCTTGGTCACTACAGGGCCTCGTCTTTGGATGGTCTCATCCTTCCCTGCAGGAGACAGAGCAGGGGTGCGGCTGGACCCCAGGACGTGTCACAAAACCCAGGCTGTCTGTCCACCCAGGCCACAGACAGCACAAGCTCAGAAGGCTCGCCTGAGCTCCGTCTCCCCCCCTCACCCTCAATCTGGACTCTCCTGGTGTCTCTGTCCATCATCCACCCAGTCCTGGTGCAGCTGGGACAGGGGGACCCGAGGGGGTGACCTGCCGCTGGGTCCGCGGAGACAGTGCCCCCTCTGCCGAAGACACCCCAAGTCGTGACAAGGAGACCTATGTCACAGGTAAGCCCCCCTGATGACATGCAGGTGAAGAGAAGGAATGACCCAGGATCCTAAGGCGATGGTTCCCAAACTGTGCGCCCGGGCACCCTGGGGAACCTGAGCAAACATGCAGGGGCTTTGTGGGGTATTTAAAGTTTCTCTTTCTGAAATAAATTAATTAAATTAATCTTTAAAAAAAAAGAAGAAGAAAGAAAAGAAAACGCATCACTGAGGGCTACCATCAAGGAGGGTAGACTTTGGATCTGGATCTTGAAGACTGCCCCCCACGCCCCCAGGGCTTGTTCCTCCTGCTTTTCACGTGTTTGGAACTTCCCCAGAGCCCTGCCAATCCCCAGAGGCGGCTCTGCAGGTGGGAGGGCCCCGCCCTGGGGGCCTCGCCTCCCGGACCTGCCCGGGGCCTGGTTCTGCAGAGGAGTTGCAACCTGTCTGCAACTTGTCCTCCTTTGACCTGGCGTCCTGCTGCTGGGTCTTCAAGGTTATTGGCCTCGAAGTGCAAAGATTAGGCCCGAACCCTAGGGCCACTCAGGCCAGGGGGGGACAGTCTGCTTCCTTCCACACTAATTAAGAAATGTGTTTCTCCTGAAAGCACAACACAGTGTCAAAAATCTGGTTCACGGAGATTTTGTCATAGTTTCCAGGAAAGAGAAAGGAAGGTGTGACCATTCCCAGATGTGAGTCTAGACCTCCCCTCAGTCCCTGGCTGAAGCCCAGGGACTCTGTGAGCCGTGGGGAGGAGCCGGTGGTCCAACCGCCCTGTAGAACCTGCAGGAATTGCTCCCGTGTCGCGGGTGACCCTGCGGCCAGGATTCAGGTCCTGTGCAACCTGAGAGCCATCACAGCGCCCTGAGGTATGTTCCCCAAATAATGCCACGTTTGCGGGCGGGGACCTGATGCTGGAAGGCTGGAAGAGGCGAGGAAGGACTCTCCTCCACAGTCTGGGAAGGCCCCAGCCCTGCCAACACCCTGGGTCTCCGACTTCCAGCCTCCAGGGCTTGGAGCCGAGGAGCCTCTGCGGTCTAAGGCGCCGAGAGTGCGGGACACTTGATTTCGGGGGCCCTGAGACACTAACACTCCGTGGTTTATACCTAATCTGTTCCCTGAAAACACCACCCCTTGTTGAGCCGACCTGGCATCAGCGACTGTAAGTGACCCTTCGAAGGCGCCATCCTGCACTGCAAGCCACAACGGGGGGGTGGCGAATGCCAGAAGCCAGGTGCCCCGTCCTTTCAGGGGAGCCCGTTTTCCAGCGTGCTGCTAAGGTGGACCGGGGCCACCAATGCCACAAGCAAGAAGGCACCTGAGGCCCCGAGACCAGACCCAACGTGTGTTTTCTTCCACAATACTGGGCAATTAAATCAATTCTCTCGCATGTACCCCCAAACTAGCACCCGACGCCACAGGCTGAGTGAGGGCTCAGGCCTGGCAGCCGGCTCCTGCACACACCGCACCCACATCCGGCCCACTGCAGACGCCACGCGCAAGCCCACGGTGTCACCTGTGCCCTGACCCACTGGCTATGCCTCAGAGGTTCCAACCACCCCCACCTTGGGACGGAATAATTAGCCAGAGCGGCTCACAGAACTCAGAGAAACAGGTCACTTGTGAGGTTACTGGGTTAGCAGTAAGGGACAGACTCAACAGCCAGAGAGGGAAGAGATGCCCAGGGCCAGGTCTGGTGGCAGGGTGGAGCTTCCTGCCGCCGGGCCCACCCTCCCCACAGCTCCACCCCGTGCTCCCCGGCCCTGAAGCGCTCCAAACCCTCCCCTTTTGCGGTTTTTCTGGTGGCCTCGTTGCACAGACACAATGGATGGAGTCAAAGGCCAGTGGAGATGCTTGGACCCCCAGGGGTTCTCCTTCCCTGGAGCTCAGGGGGTGGGGCTCAAAGTTCAAACCCTAATGCTGGGCCAGCCCTCCCCTGAGATGCTTTCCAAAGTCACCTCATTAACATCACAGAAGACAATGCGTGCTCCCCTCCCCGCCCCCCTTAGGAAATCCCAAGCGTTTCCGGAGCTCTGTGCCAGGAACAGGATGAAAATAACATTTGGATAAAAAAAAAAAAAAAAAAAATCACATTTGGGTCTGCCTTTGGCCCAGGGCGTGACGCCGGAGTCCCAGGATCCAGTCCCACATCGGCTTCCCCCGCAAGGGAGCCTGCTTCTCCCTCTGCCTGTGTCTCTGCCTCTCTCTCTGGCTGGGTCTCTCACGAATAAATAAATAAAATATTTTTCAAAAATCACATTTTATATGTCAGATATTTTTCTCTGATATTTGTATAGACTGCAAAATGATCCCTGCAGTAAATCTGGTTAACATCCGTCTCCGGACGTACAGTTTTCTCCTGATAAGGACTTTCAATACCTACTTCCCAAGCAGCTTTCAAACGCGCAACACAGCATTGTTAACTACTTTGTCACTGACTACGGGGATGTGATACATAGCAGGTGACCAGAGTTAAGGAGCCTTATCATAATTGACAACATCACGGGGGCGCAAAGCTCCCTCCCCACCTCGGGATGTGTGTGTGCACCCTGCGTGCCCAGCCAAGCGTTCCCAGAAGCCGCCCCTTTGTGGCCACAGGGCTTTTGGCCAGATTCAGGGTGGGGGCCTGCCCGGTGCCGCGAGGCCAGCCACCCCCTCTCTGGAAGGCACCTGGGGCCCAGCGCCAGCACAGGCTTTCCCAAATCTCACATGGGGCAGCTTCAGGGAGCTTCAGCCTCCTGCCCTGTGGCACAAGGCACGTTTCCTGGAAAGCCCTGTGAGGAGGTGCCCCTGCTGCGGGAAGACGTCGTGAAGCAGCCCACCCCGCGTGCCCGGGGGGACCCGCTCTTACCTCCGCAACCGAAGCCGGCAGAGTCATCCTGCCCTCCTTGGCTTCCTGCTTATATATGCTGAGTGGATCACTCCTCCTGAGCTGCAGGGAGAGAAATGAAACCAAATATTCCGGCCACAGAAATGAAACCGAAGCAGCAGCACACACCCCTCCACCACTCACGCTGTGGTCCTCAGCCTCCGGCGGCATTTGGGGGGTCCTGGGGGGCCAGGGCGCACTGGGGGGGAGGGTGCTGCTCCGAGCCCTGGGGTCTGCGGCCCGGGAATCTGCATCGCCGAGGAGTCCTCAGCGGGAGGCTGGTGTCAGGCCACACTCGGAGACCCAGCGCCTTAGAGCAGCGCGGTCCTGAGGACGTCGGGGAGCGCGGGGTGCTCTACCCGTTGCTGTGCAATACGGAGGGGCATCTAGAAGGAGGCTAGGGAGCCTGAGGACCTGACATCTTACTCGGCTCCATCCTAACTGACTTAGCCCCTCACGTGTGGCTCCCATCCCGGGGTGTCTGCAGGTCTTGATCTGAACGACCTGGGACGGCCCAGGGCAGCGCGCCGGAGCCACACGGGGCCAACGTTAAGCGCTGCAAGCCCGGGGGAGGGACGTCCACAGCTTCCCGCAACGCCCCATTCTTTGGGTGCACGCCCTCACTCTGCTGTGGGGTCCCTGCCCGGGGAGAGCCCTCCGCCGGGACCACGAGAGGGCAGGGGCCACGCTGAAGGCAGCTCCCAGCTGGGGGCCCAGCCCCGGGCCCAGCTGACCCGCTGGTCCTAGGTCAGGTCACCTGCAAAAGTGCAGGCGTGTGCCCAAGGGGTCCCGGAGGCCCCCCGCTCTGTGATTGAGTGGAAGTGAGCCAGGCCTGCCCAGCCCCAGAGCGCAAGGGCGGGGAGCCCGGGAGCTCTCAGGAGGCCAGGGCTGCGCAGGAAGGCAGAAGCAGGCCTCCATCTGACGCCTTCCAAATCGAAACTAACACTAGACAAGATCATAAACAAAACCAAAGCAAACCAAGCCAAGCACTTCTTTGTTCTTCATTTTACTTCCTGCCCTTGTGAGCAAGTTTTCCTTTAAAGAAGGCATTTAAAGGCTGAATGTTTGTTAGAACATGCCAGGGCCTTGGGAGGTCTCGGGTGATGGTCTTCAAGATCTATGTGCTGGGGGGTCGGAAGCTGAGCGGTGTCACCCCGGAACCCCCGCGGGGAGCGGGGCAGCTGCCTGCAGTGTGAGGCTCTTGTGTTTCACCACTGGTGTCATATGCATCCGCAGCTCCAGGCCCTGGGGCAGCCGGGCGGGGCGGCTCAACCCCGGGGGGGGGGGGGGGGGGGGGGGGGGGGGCTGCAAGAGCACCTGGGGACCTCCGTCTGCCCCTCCTGCCTGCTCCTCACCTGGTGGCCTCTCCAGGAGGGAGAAGGGGCACCTAGACACTCAAACTGCAGGGACAGGGTCCGTGCAGCCGGGGGACGGCACCGTGGGGTCCTTGCAGCGGGGGGACGGTGCTGTGGGGTCCTTGCAGCTGGTGGATGGTGCCGTGGGGTCCTTGCAGCTGGTGGATGGTGCTGTGGTTCCTTGCAGCCGGTGGACGGTGCTGTGGGGTCCTTGCAGCTGGAGGATGGCACCATGAGGTCCTTGCAGCTGGTGGATGGTGCTGTGGGGTCCTTGCAGCTGGAGGATGACAACATGGGGTCCTTGCAGCCAGAGGATGGTGCTGTGGGGTCCTTGCAGCCAGTGGATGGTGCTGTGGTTCCTTGCAGCTGGAGGACGGTGCCGTGGGGTCCTTGCAGCCGGTGGACAGTGCCGTGGGGTCCTTGCTGCTGGAGGACGGTGCCGTGGGGTCCTTGCTGCTGGAGGACGGTGCCGTGGGGTCCTTGCAGCTGGTGGACGGCGCCGTGGGCAGGGGCTTGAGACCCTGGTCCCCTCCGTGCGAGGGGCAGCTACTTCCGGACTCCCCTGCAACTGTCCTTGCACCTGCCATAGGGAGGGGCAGGGTCTGCACCCCTCCCTGCAGAGCTCGCCTCTGCTGTGCCCTGGGGAGGGGGGCTTAGGATCACCCCAATGGGGGCTGGGCCAGTAGGACGCTCAGGGCTGGTTGCCCATTTCTGTGTCATTGGCAGATTTTTTTTTTTAACTAGACTATTTTTTTACAGCAGTTGTAGGTGCAAAGCAAAATTGAGAGGAAGTTACAGAGCTTTCCCATTCCCACCGTCCCCCAACACAGGCACAGCCTCCCCCACCACGGACATCCCCACCGAAGTAGTACCTTTGTCACAGTCGACACACCTGCGCCGACGCGTCATCACTCAGGGTTCATGGTTAACATCGAGTTCGCTCCCCGGGATGGGCGTTCTGAGGGTCTGGGCAAGTGCACGATGACACACATCCACCTTCTGGTAGGTCCAGGTCCTCTGAGCTCCAACTGGCCCCCCAGCCCCTTGGCCCCTGCTGCCTCCTCACTGACCACACTCACACTCCCCAGCTGCCTGGTCCAGAACCCAGAACCCAGAATTAGGGGCCAAAGGGGCTTCCCAGTAAGGGCAGGACACAGCGAGGTGCCCAGTGGGGGCACCGGGCCCTTTGGGGAGGGAACAGTCCCCAGCTCAGGGCCGAGGACAGTGTCAGCACAGCCGCCCTGCTGCGGACTGCTCTCGGGCTGTGAACTCCCCCGTGAATGGCTTTCAGGAACATTCCACAAGACCTGCAGAAAGAACACGCTGTGGCCGGGCCATAACCCGCAGCGGTGACCCGGGCCTGACCCCTCCAATGTGCTAATGTCGCGGAAGCCAGTCCACTGAAGGCCGTACTACCTAATGGAATAAAATGAAAGTTTAGGGTGAAAACATAAGCCTGACGCAGGGAAAATGGCCAAAGTCGTCGCTGAGGAGGATGCTTTCAGGAAGCTGCGTGTTTGGCAGGCGGTGAGCTTGGCAGGCGAGCGTCAGCAGGTGGCACAGTGAGAACAAGCGTGGGGCCCTCCCGGGTGCTGGCGCCCAGGAGGCTGGGACATGTCCACACTCAGCACTCTCGTGGGCAGGAAACAGGACACGGACGGTTCAGGGTCCCTGTGCGCCAGGTAGGAACATGCCAGTGAGGGCCACCGCGGGCGCCAGCAGAGGCCGAGGGCTCCCAGCCGGGAGGCCCTGGGACCTCATCCCTGACAGTGAACTAAGATCAACGGGGCTGGGATGCCTGGGTGGCTCAGCAGTTGAGCATCTTCCTTCAGCTCAGGGCATGATCCTGGGGTCCTGGGATCAAGTCCCACTTCGGGCTCCCTGCACGGAGCCTGCTTCTCCCTCTGCCTGCGTCTCTGCCTCTCTGTGTGTCTCTCATGAATAAATAAATAAAATTTTAAAAATAAAATCAATGGGACTATGAAAATGTAGTAATTCCCGCCAGAGTAAAAATAGTATCCATGTCCCTGCGCTGCCATAGCAAACCCCACAGACCGGGCGGCTTAAACAGCAGACATTTATTCTCCCTCAGTCTGGAGACCCAAGTGCAAGGCGTTGGCCGGGCCGTGCACCCTCCACGGGCTCCAGAGGACATCTATTCCAGGCCCCTCCCAGGCTTCTAGGGCTTTGCTGGCGTCTTTGGGGTTTCTTGGCTTGTAGAAGCATCACCTGGACCTCTGCCTCTATGCTCTGTGTCCATGTGCCCCTTTTTCATAAGGACACGGTCACACTGGCTTGCGGTCCACCCTCTTCCCTCCGACATACTACACAGTGAGGACCCTACTTTCAAATAAGGTCACATTCTGAGGCACCAGGGGTTAGGATTTCAACTTAGGAGTTTTGGGGGGACCTAATTTAGTCCCTAACAGGGTCTGAGCCACAGTCTTACCCTGTGGTTTGCAGACTTCTCTGCAGAGAGAGGCCCTGGCTCCCCGAGGGGCTGCTGCTCAGGGCAGCGGGCCTGCAGGTGCCAGCTCCTCCCTGGGCCAGAGCATGCTTGGCTTTCAGCGTATCCCGCTCACAAAGACTCACCCCTTGCCTGAGGGAGGACAGCCACCTTCCTCTACATGCTTGATACCTCCTGGGCTCACACGTGTCCTGACCGGAGCTCTGAGGGCACCTGGGATTTCTGCTCCTCCTGGCTTCCCTGCTGACAGGGACCCTCCTCTGGCTCCCAGCACCCAGCGGCCAAGCCCTGGTCGAGCTGCGACTCACTTGTCAGATGAAGGAGAAATCCGTGACGTCGTAAGCCACCCAGACTGGGGTGTTTGATGACTTCAGCACCAGATTTGATGGCGCTGAAACTCAAGGTGCCTGGTGCTGCTGGGTTTTTGAAAGGAGTCCTGTTGATAAAGATGCTTGAACGCATTCGCCCATCCCTCTCCCACATGAAACAGGCTCAGGAGGCATCACCAATCCGACCTCAGAGCCAGGCTCGGGAAGGGTGTTGGAATGGGCGCTTGATGGGGCGCCTGGGGGGCTCAGTCAATTGAGCGTCTGCCTTCGGCTCAGGTCATGATCCCGGGTTCCTGGGATCGAGCCCCACGTTGGGCTCCCAGCTCAGCGGGGAGTCTGTTTCTCCCTCTCCCTCTGCTCCTCTGCCTGCTTATGTTCACACTCTCTCTCAAATAAATAATTTTTTTTTTAATGGCAATGGCATGACTTCCCCAACCCCAAATCAGATGCACTGTGGGACACCCTTCACCAAGCGTCGTGGGATACCCTTCACCCTTCACCACCCTTCACCAAGCGTGGATATCTTGGACCCTCGGATCTTATGATGTGTCTCCTGGGAAGCATGGGGTATCCAGTTGTCCTCCTGAGAGCAGAGCCTGCCGGCCCACCCCATGACACACAGGCCACGCCTGGAGTGCCACCCTTGCATCTGCCTGGGTCTTCTCCACCATCATGATGCTGGTGCCAGGGGCCAGGCATGCCCAGATTTGTGGGGTGAAGGAGTAGTAAGTTCTCGGAGCCCCGGGAGCGTTCAAGGGCTCGGTGGGAGTTGACCAAGGCAGCTTTGCCAAGCCCTCAGGAGAGGGCAGTCCTAAAGGACGGTGGCCTTGGTGGTAATGCAACGGAGGCCTTATCTGTACAGCTGCCTGGGCCACACGTGGCTCACGCTCAGGTCCCATCCCACCGCAGGTCCACAGCCGGACAAGCAGGCCTTGCCTTCCCCAGCCTGTCCTCTCCAGACCCCATCCACTCCTTCCCTCACAGTTCCCATCCCTTCTACTCTTCCTGCTTGCTAACGCCTTCGCTACAGAAATTCTGGCATAAACAGACTGTGCGCTGAGGTTGCACACAACTAGCAAATACTGCTTGCCTGAAGACAAACATCAAATACTCATCAAATATTGACTGTTGGTTAAGATTCTTGGGCCAGTCCACACCACACTGGTCTACACATTAACACATTTATTAAGGTTGTGCAACGTTAGCTTGGCATTTTCGGTATGCAGCCTTCTATCTGGATCTCTGCGGGCCAGCCCGAGTATCTGTTTCTTGCATTATCAGAGTGGTTGATCTGTGTAAAGAAGAGAAAAGAATTTGATTTATCCACTATTTTATTCAACAAATATTTAACATGTCAGCTAGGAGCAAACTCAGAGAGAGCATCACTTCCTAGAGTGGGATTTGCTCTAACCTACTCTGGGTAATTGATTTTTTTTCCGCGACATGTTTCTTAATATTTGAACCAGGTGTTAATACGGCTCTAGAACCTTCTGCAAGGATACAGATGTTGTATAATCTACGCTGTCCAGTAGAGTAGCCACCAACCATGTTGGATTCGTGAGTACTTAAAACGTGGCTAGTGTGACTGATGGGCTGAATTTTAAATTCTATTTAATTTAAATACATTTAAATGTCAATGCAAATTTGGCTAGGGGCCGCCATATTGGACAGCAAAGCTCGAATGTTTAATTTTCAATTCTCTGTGTAGAGGGCTGTATTTTTTTCAGGGAAACTATAGAGTCCCTTGCTCAGCAACTGTGTGTTCATACCGACTGGGCTTTCGTCCTTCATATCTTTGATACTTTCACCCATAATGGAGTACCTTGACCTCATGTGGAAGAAGAATAATCTGATAATCTGCACTGTTATAGGACGATGGAATTCTAGGTTTACATTCCTTTTTATATAACAGCTTTATGAAGATGTCATTCACATACTATGAAATTTTCCCATTTAAAGTGTATAATTCAATAATTTTAGTATTGTGGACTCAATAGTCCACAGAGGTATGCCACCACCACCACCACAATCAATTAAGAGCATTTCCATCATCTGAACAAGCAAGCACATACCTGTCCATAGTCACTCCCCATTGTCCACAGCCCTGGGTGGTCACTCATCTACTTTCCATCTCTATGGATTTTGCCTATTCTGGAAATTTCATATAAATGGGATAATAGCAATATGTTGTTTTTTTGTGTGTTTGATTTTCTTCACTTAGCATGTCTGAAGGTTCATCATCCATGTTGTAGCATGGATTGGCAAGTCATCTCTTTACGAGGCTGTGGAATATTCCAGTGACTGGCTATACCGTATCTTATTATACATGTTTTCACCCATTAATCAGACATTTGGGAAATGCAGACTCACTGCATGGACTTTTCAATTCTATTTGAATTTTAAATTCTATTTAATTTAAATACATTTGGCTGTTTTCCATTTTTTGGCTATTATGGGTAATACTGCTGTGTGAATTCTTGTACAAGTTTGGGTGAGCATATGTTTTCATTCTCTCAGGTAGATGTTTATGAGTAGGATTGCTGGGTTATCTGGTAACTGTATGTCTAACTTTTTGAGGAACTGCCAGCATGTTTCCCAAGGCAGCTGGATATTGCATTTCCTCCAGCCGTGCACAAGGGTTCTAATTTCTCCACATCCTCATCCACATTTCTTACTGTTTCGTGTGTTACAGCCATCCTAGTGAGTGGGAGGTGGTGTCTCACTGGGGTTTTTATGTGCTTTTTCCTAATGGCCAAGAGGAGCATCTTTTCACGGGCTTGTTGGCCATCTACATGTCTTTGAAGAACTGTCTATTCATATCCTTTGCCCATTTTATAATTGGGTTGTCCTTCTATTATTGAGTTGTAAGAGTTCTTTATATATTCTGGATACAAGTCCTTCATTTGCACATGTTTTCTCCCATTCTGTGAGTTACCTTTGCAATTTCTGGATGGTACCTGTGCTCTCTTCTGTTGTTTGTGCTTTTGGTGTCATATCAAAGAAACCCAAGGTCACAAAGACTTACGCCTCTTTTCTTCTGAGAGTTTAGTAGTTCTAGCTCTTACATCTGGATATTTGACCCATTTTGACTGAATTTTTGTCTAGGGTGTGACGTAGGGGTCAACATTTATTGTTCAGCATGAGGATATCCAGTTGTTTCAGTGCTACTTATTGCAAACATGACTCATTCCCCTGGGCCCATCATGGGAGAGCTGTGTGACGTGTAGAGGAGAGCAGAGTGGAGCGGCAGTGGCTTCCCTGGCGTGTGGAGCGTATGCAGCATGGAAATACCAGTAGGGAAGGACTGGCTGGGCTGCAGGGGTCTTTGCTCTGGTTCCAGATCACCAGGGACCAAGATGGAGACCATGCCAGAGGGGATGCTAATGATGGCCCTGTGCTGAGTGCACTACGCGGGGCAGGCTGACCACCCACGGTTCTTGTGAAGACAAGGAGGCTCAGACACATGACATCAGAGTCCTTGGGTCACACAGCTCGGCGGGACAGAGTCTAGGTCCAAACCCAGGCTACACTGCTTCCGACTCCTATCCTCCTTCATTTCTTAGTTTGTGGGTCTCAGATTCCTCCTCCTTTATAAAACCGGAATCTGCCTTAAAGTCTGACATGAGCCGGGTTTTCGATGACAACAATGGGACGAGCTGCCAACAGAAGCTTCTCCCAGGTTCTCCTCAGATCCATGATGTCGATGCGGTCACTTTTCCTTCCCTGGACGTACTGTGCGTTCGGAAGTCAAAGTTGATGCCACCCCACGTGGGTTCCTGCTGCAAGCAATTCTAGGATATCCTCTTCCTTAAGGGCTCTGGACGCTGTGACAGTTTCCCTTTAAGTTAGGACAGGAAGGCAGAACAAGGCTGTCTGGACCCTTCAGAGGGTCCACAGTGTGGACAAAAAAGCAAGTCCCTTACATGTTAAAATTCAGTTCAGTGGGTTAGTGGGGCTGGTGAACATGTGGGCTGTGCCTGGCAAGCCAGCTCTGGGAACAGGGGGGGGATGCATGTGACAGTGGCTGGGGCCAGGGCTTGGGAGGCCCACCCCACACAGCCACACAGCACCCTCGGGGAAGTCCACGCAGTGAGTCTGCATTTCCCAAACAGGAAGACACACTGATTCCTCCAATAGCACTTGACCTGAGCTCTGGGTGAGGCTGGCTTGAGGCCCTGGTGCGCCAGCTCAGGCCTCACCAACATCCAGGCAAACCGCCTTTCGTGCCCCAAGCCACAGCTCTAACAGCTCCCACGAAAGCTGCTCACCGCATTCAGGTCTCATCTTCATGCTCTTGTAACAACTGGGACAAGAACCTTCAGCCCACACATGTAGGCAAGACAAGCATTTTCCCGACGTTCCCGTAGAGCCCCCGTTCCAAAACACTCTGGTCCTCTAAACTCCGGGCAGCGCTTGGATACCCACTCTCACCTTGATTCCTCTCCTAGAAACTCTCTTCTAAAGGAGACAGGAGAGAAAGGACTACTGCTACTTTGCAATTCAAATGAGGTTTTATTTTAAGTGTCTCAGCTGAACATTAATAGGGAACCTGTCTGTTGAGATGTTAACCCTGAATTAAAAAGGGATTCAAGCCTCACTCCAGGCTTCTCTGATCCTGTGGATGCTCGGGTGCCAGAGGGCACAGGGATGGGGGCCGCACTTCCTGCGGGGTCTGGCCTGTGCTCTGCTGGGTCCCTGACCTGGGGCAGGTGGGAGAGGCCGAGGGAGCTGGGGGAGGGGGGACAGAGAGGCCAGGAGGTGATGTTAGGGGGAAGCTGGGATGTGCTCAAGGAATTGAGGCCTCTGTCCTGTCGTCCTGTCGTGAAAATCAGAGCAATGGGCCCAACCCTTTGGGTGCATCAGGATCACCAGTCAGGCCCCACCCTGAGGCTCTGGTTCAGGGGGCCAGTGTAGGGTTGGGAATGGCAGGCTGGGGGTGGACTGGTGGGAAGGGGCACGGGAAGCTCCAGGAATCTGCCCTGGGTTCCAGGGCTCTGCTCAGTTTCCCTGCTGGGCCCTGCATGCTAGTCTCATGTAACCCTCAGGGACCCTTATGTGACAGGTACAGTTTTCATTCCTTCCTTGCTAGAGATGATTCTCTGGCACAGGGAGGTCGAGTAACTTTCCCAGGACCACACAGCTGAGTGGGTAAAGCCTGGAGATCCCCAACATGCCAGACTGCTACTGATCATGCACGGGGGTGAGAGAGGAGACGCTGCATTACTACACGGGGTCAGCCTGACAAAGGCCACGGGTCCGTGAGGCGCATCCCCGCATCACAGCCGCTGAGCCCCGAGGAGCTACCCAGCTTTCACCTCACTGCCCGGGGCACCAGAGCGAGGCCCGCAGAGGTAAAGTGGCTGGGGGTGTGGGATCACAAGTGGCCCCTGGCAAACCTGACACTGGATGCCAAGCCCCCCTGCCCTGCTGTGCCTGGCCTACCTCACCACGAGGTGCGTGTCCAGGCGGTGATGGCCCGTGACAGTGGTACCACGCAGAGCCTGGGGAATGCCTCTCTGACTAGGACAAGTCCCTGAGGTCTCAACTGTACACCAGGTGTCCACACCGCTCATTAGTACCGAGAAGTCTATGCTAGGGCACCGGGTACATGCTTCTAACGTGTTCTGTATGATTGGCTTCCTGTCTGCAGAAGAACGTGAGAGGTACAAGGGGAAACATGCTTTTCTAGATGTGTGCTAAAATAACCCTGATTTCTGAACTCCCAGAGTAGGGGCATCACAGAAGCCGTGGGCCTTCCCTGGGAGCTGGTCATGAGTTATCTGGGGCGGGGCCACACTGAAATCCCACCTCATGCACCCCCCTTCCCAGCGAGGGTGGTCCTGCCAACAAGGGTAGGTCCCGCTGCTGTTTCTGTCTCCCTTCCCAGACCCAGAACCACAGCAGATGGTGCCGGGAGGGGACCTGGACCAGGTGTCCCAGCCTCAGGTCGGGAGCAGCCTCTCGCACGGCCAGGACACGTCCATTCCCTGCCTCCTTTGAGTTTCTGGCTCCTGGAAAGGAAGCCCTTCTCCTGGAAAGAGTCGGTGACCACCCCACGGCAGTGCTGGTAACCCTTCCTCTCTGGAAACTGTCCCGTCTCCTAAAAGGCAGCGTCTCAGAAAGAGGCTGTGTGACCCGACCCAGAGGTGCCAGCTTGTAACTCCGACATCGTGTACCAGTGCTCAGCTGGAATCTTCACAGGTGACCAAGTTAATCCGTTAGATTTGTTCTCTTGCTCTTTACTATTCTTCCGTAAAGAGGACATGGTGGTGGTGGTGAGGGGGGGACTTAACAATCCATCATGCATCGAGCTACGGCAACGGTGCACATTTATGCTGTGTTTGGCCCCCGCACGCACAGTGCCAGCACTGTCACCAGCCTCCGAACAGAGGCGGGTCACCGGAGGCTTGCCACCAATTGTGTTGGCGGCAGCACGACGGAAAAGTGGGACCAACAGCCCATAAAGAATCGACTCGACCTTCCGTCGAGTGCCTTTTCCTGATGGAATGGGCAAGGTCACAAGCACCTTGTGATGGACTGTTTTACTAACAGTGACGTACCAAGCACCCACTGCGTGGAAGGCGAGATTCACCCCGGACGCGGGAATGCAGAGTCCCAGGCACAGGGACTTCTCCCACGGGAGAAGCAAGGGCTCAAAGCCGGGGAAGCCGGCTCCGTGTGGCCCTGTGTGGCCCGCGCTTAGCGCAGGAGTGTCGTGGAGGCAGGAAGCCGTCACCAGCCCACAGCTTTTCACATCACGGGGCATCTTCTACTACTAACCACTCGTGGGAAGCGACATTGATAAAAAAAAAAAAAAAGAAAGAAAAAACACTCACATTTTCTCTCTGAATGTCTGCAGGAAGTTCGAAGCCTTTTGCTGTAAGAAATACCCAGCTGGACCTGAACTGAATGTTCCTGATTTGTTTACTTCCAAGTGCTTCTATGACCTTCTTGGCGTCCTCCTTCAGCCTGGAGGGGGGGGAGGAGGAGGGAGGGAGTGTGAGCGTGGCCTGTGGGGACTCCGGTGTGTCACACCGCACGTGTCTGAGGCAAGAGGCTTCCCCAGCAACCCACCTCCTCCTGGGGCAGACAGCGGGAGGAGGTCAGATTTCTAGTTAAGCATGTAACGGGCATCAGGGCCTCTTTCAGCCTCAGATTTGGGCACAGGGTTTTAATTCTCAATTCTCAAAAGCCCTGTGTCTTGGGGTTCAACTGCCTCCTCACGTTCGGCCAACATTACGTTTGGTCTTTGCTGTCTCTCCTGTTCACTGGCCACAAAAGGTGGCGGACAGAAGTTGCTGAAAGATGAAAGGAAAGGTCAAAATGGTCCTTTTCATTTTCAGAGAGGTGAGTATCAAAAAAGAAAAAATTATGGGGGTGCCTGGGCAGCTCAGGGGTGGAGCATCTGCCTTTGGCCCAGGGCGTGATCCCAGGGTCCCGGGATCGAGTCCCGCATCGGGGTCCCAGCATGGAGCCTGCTTCTCCCTCTGCCTGGGTCTCTGCCTCTCTCTCTCTGGGTCTCTCATGAATAAATAAGTAAATTTAAAAAAGAAAAGAAAACAAACTTCTGAAACAATGCTAAAAGCACGCAGCTTAGGGTAAGCAGAGGAAGGAGGAGAAGGGAAAAGGAAAAAAAAATGAGCTTCCAATTTTCCGGAGTCAAATCAGAATTTTCCCAAGCGTGTTATCAAATAACTTCTGTCTGGCGAGGTGCTCTGTTGAAAACAGGATCTGAGGTCAAATTATATGGGAGAAGGCCGTGTTCAGGAGCCACCCTGGAAAGCGTACAGGCCACACAAAGACTCTTTGGTTCTTGGAAGTTTGGCAGCGAACACACACGTGTTTACTCAGGAGAGCAAACTTCCGAGACACACGGGGCCAGACCCACTTCTCCCTACAGAAAGCTGCGTGTGCGCGCTTCCTTTTCATCCTATCGCTACTCATCTAGAGAATTCTTCTCAATGGCCTTTCCTGTTTCTCGAAGTCCCACCCTGGGTTTGGCTTTTCTGCACCAAGTGTTAATTCTTCTGTCCTAATTATGGTCAGTGGTGGCTCCGTCTGCTACCTGGGAATGTTCCTCAGTTTCTAGTCCTTACGAACCCTGATGGCTACTTGTGGGTTTTTTTTTTTTTTTTTGGAAACCCCATCTGCTTTGTCATGGGGCTCCTGTTCCTTCTCCCTAAGAAACCATCCCGTGGGACAACCGGGCGGCTCAGCGGTGGAGCATCTGCCTTCGTCTCAGGGTGTAACCCGGGGGTCCTGGGATCGAGTCCCACATCGGGCTCCCTGCATGGAGCCTGCTTCTCCCTCTGCCTGTGTCTCTGCCTCTCTCTGTGTGTCTCTCATGAATAAATAAATGAAATCTTTAAACAAAACAAAACCTTGCTCCTTGGATTTGCTTTCTTTCCTAGAGCACGCTCCTGAGGCCCCCCCCCCCCCAGGCCTGGTCTCTCTGCCAGCCAGCTTCCCCAGCCCCCCCTCCCCTACGCACCCCACCGTGACAAACCCAGACACCTCACCCTCTGGCACCGTCATCCTGGGTCACCATGAAGAGCAGGGACTTTGGAGGTGCGCTCCGAATGAAGCTTGCCATCAGTCCAGAGTTATCTAGAGGGTCAAAGCAAATCAATTTTAGGGTCTTCTCTGTTCACTTGCCCTGGACGCTGTGCCTCCTCTGCTCTTAGGGGCCATGTCCTCCCTGAAACCTTCGATTCCTGGAGTTCGTCCCGCGACCACACACAGGGTGCTCTAGCTCCACGAGTGAGTGGCCACGGGGCTCCACGGTGGGAACAGCGGGGGTGAGGGGCACGAGCAGATTGTGCAGATTCTGGGACTCGAACCCGAGACCAGCAACACGCTGGCCGGCACAGGCAGGGCATCTTCTGCAACGACTAACCAAGCCTGACAGCAGAGCAGCCCCAGGACACTAACGTGCAGAATGGGGGCGAGAAATCAAATTTTTTTTTAATTTTTATTCATTTATGATAGGCACACAGTGAGAGAGAGAGAGGCAGAGACATAGGCAGAGGGAGAAGCAGGCTCCATGCACCGGGAGCCCGACGTGGGATTCGATCCCGGGTCTCCAGGATCGCGCCCTGGGCCAAAGGCAGGTGCCAAACCACTGTGCCACCCAGGGATCCCGAGAAATCAAATTTTTAAATAATTCTCACAGTTCAATAAAGACAAAAGGGGCTGCTATACCCTGACTGCCCAGTGGGCTCAAGCCCAGTGCCCAGAGCACAGAGACCCCGGAAGGAGAAGGGGCGCCGTGTGTCCCAGGATGTGTGTGCTGAGCCCAGCAGGGCACCATGAGCAGGACAGGGGCAATGACGACGCTCAGGGCTCGAAAAAATGATCACATTTTTTACATATATTTGATTAAAAAAAAAAAAGTTCTCTTTCTCATTATCTGAGGAAGGACCAAAAGGGCAAGTGTGACCAGAGAAGACATTTTCTAGATAACACCTTCCAGCTCGATCACGTGAACTCGCTTAGAGACCGGAAGGGCTTGTGGAAGACTGTTCTAGAACATTCCTCTGAGCTTCTGGCAACTTTTTTAGTAGACAAAATAAGAGTGTTTGACACTTTTGTTTGGGTCTTTTTATCTTAATGCTCCTAATTCATTTTAATTTTCATAGGAAAATTCCTTTTCTTACCACCTTCGACCATATTAAAATACTGTGTTGCTCTCACTTTTCCAGTCAGATCTGAAAAGAAAAGAAATCGGTTTTAAAAGAAAGTTCACTGGACTCGGGGCACATGTGGCATGCGTGCTCAGAACAGCACACTCGGCTGTCCCCGTGGGCAGGCCGGGAAGGCGGCTGGTGGGCTGCTCTAGAGCTTTCCTCCCGTCTGCTTCCAGTTAGTTGGAGCCCACGCTCTTTCCCGCCACCCCTCTGCTCCCACAGGAACACCAGAGCGCCCGCCTCGGCCCTCCCCACTTCATACTTTGGGTTTTCCAGGGGGATTCTCAGAGTGGGCACATATGGTCCCCGGTCCCCACAGCCCCGCGGTCAGGGGGCTGCACACTCCATGTGCTCTCAGACACGGCACCTTCCCCAGCCCTGACAGCTCTCCTGGTCACGGGCCCCCAGTGGCAATCATGCCGGGATGTCCTCCCCAAGCTTTGTCCCTCGTGGCCTTTGCTCACAGAGGGGGGACCTGGCTGCTGGCTCTCCCTCCGTGGGGCCGCCGGGAATCCAAGAGCAGCTCCAGGATGGTCTGTGCCCCCACAGCCTGCTTATCTGATTTTACCCCTGCCTTCTGCTGGCCCCTTTTTTTGTTTTTACAAAAGCCTATTTAATTTGACTTTTTTTTTTTTAAGTTAATTTATTTTTAGTAATCTCTACACCCAACACGGGGCTCGACTCACGACCCTGAGATCAAGAGTCGGAGGTTCCTCTGACTGAGCCAGCCAGGAACCCTGGACTGTTTTTGTTTTTTGCAGGAACCATAAATAATCCGTAAAGTGAAGCATTATAAAAATAATCAAATAATTTTAAAGTGCATTAAAATACAAGCCTAGACTAGATCATTTGCAAAAATCATCAAAAACTCAAGGTCACTTGAAAATCCATTTGTGGAACTTTAAGAGAAGTTTGAAAGACAATATTTAATGACTCACAGTCGACAATGGCAATATTTATTCCTCTTCCAACATTTCCAGTCTTTTCTCCGATGAGCCTGAAATGTAAATAAGAGTTAGTCAAAGAATCCTGTTCTTAACTAAGCAATGAGTAGGGCTCCCTGTTCCATGAGCTCTTCTCTTGGGAGAATCACTCCTCCAACCATTGGCACTTACCATTCCCTCGAAGTTACGCAAAGGCCTTGACCCAGCTCCCTCCAAAGTCACTCGACATATACCCACCCCCAAGGTTCTATAGACTCAGTCCCTCGGGGAACCTGGAAACTGAATTTGATCTTATCATCTGGACAAATGGCGAGGGAGAGGAAAGTCTAGGATTTGTTTACCACAGGCTCTTTACACACATTTTCTCACTGAACACTCAGCCCGCTCCCAAGCATTCATTTTTCCACCTTACAGATAAGAAGTTGTAAGAAGTGGATCAGTTGGGATGGATCTGACACAAGTCTGGTATCCACGTACACACCCTCTCTTCTCATACTAACGGAGGCTTTGCTGGACTCCTGGCGATTTTTTTATCTCGCCACAAGGTGTATGCCAGCTTACCTCCTCAAACAAATACCTTTTATTACTTCACTTAATTTTCACTTTTAAATTGGAGAATAAATCTCAACTTCAAATGCACTGTGCCCTAAAACCAGTAAGAAGACTGACTTTCCTGGAGACGGTATTTATTACTGAGGATCCTGGAATTGTGTGTGTGCGTGCGTGTGTGCATGTGCAAGCATTCTCTGTCAAGTTTTAGAATCAGTGATATGCTAGTGTCACAAAAAGAATTTGTAAGTTTTCCTCCTTTTCACATGCTTGGGAATAGTGAATATAGCTCTGTAACATTCTCCTCTGGACACATTTATCTAAACTCCCCCGGGGGATTCCCAGGCTAAGTCCTTTTTGGAACAGTAGGTTTTTGACAATTTTAGAGAATATTCTGTACTATATTGAAAGGGAAAAAGAAACTTCCATTTATGACAGTGGAAAGTGGGGAGTGATCTGAATCTAACCTCTCATAGAGAAAAATTTAAAAATGGGATTTAAAGAATACATCCACTTGACCATATTGGAGACACAGCAAGGAAATAAAGAGTTTTGAAGCCAGGATGTGGGAAAACACGGAGTTTCAGGTGGGGGAGCCCAGCAAGCACAGCTACTTTGCCTCAGGAACACTGGCTAATTCCAGAAAAAGTGCCAATGACGATGAGTAGCGCTTCTGGCACCTTGTGAGGTGAGGCTAGGGACAAAATTGGAAGCCAGGCCCACCAACAGGAAGGCCATGTTAAATCCTCCAATATTATAGGGGTTGGGGTAAAAAATGATTGAATCTTGAAAATAAGAATGAGCCAGAAATAGGTTGAATTGAACTTGAATAACCACAGCCAAGTTTTAAGTCAACTGGGTGGGTCCCCCCAAATCTCAGTCCTTAATATTTATTCAGATCATTCTATTCTGCTAATGATTCTAAGTCCCTGTTAAAAACAAAGACCCTCAGAAAAAGAAGATACCATCTAATACCTTAAATACCTTAAACTGAAGAAAAAAAAGAAAAAAAAACCCATGGGGCATCTGGATAGCTCAGTTGGTTCAGTATCTGCCTTCGGCTCAGGTCATGATCCTGGGATCCTGGGATCGGGCCCTGCATGGGGCTCCCTGCTCAGCAGACAGCCTGCTTCTCTCTCTGCCTGCCATTCCCCACCCCCACCCCCCAACTTGTGCTCTCTTTCAAATAAATGAATAAATAAAATCTTTAAAAAACCCACAATTTCTCAAATGCACCGTCTGTCACACTATCAAATGTCACCTAGGACATAACGAGAGATGTCAACATAAAAAAGTCTCAATGATGGGATCCCTGGGTGGCGTAGCGGTTTGGCGCCTGCCTTTGGCCCAGGGTGTGATCCTGGAGACCCGGGATCGAATCCTACGTCGGGGTCCTGGTGCATGGAGCCTGCTTCTCCCTCTGCCTATGTCTCTGCCTCTCTCTCTCTCTCTGTGACTATCATAAATAAATAAAAATTAAAAAAAAAAGAATGAGGAAAATTTAAATAGATAAATAATCCAGAAATAAAGCTGGTAGTGTTCTCAAAAAAAAAAAAAAGTGTCAATGAAACCAGCCAAAAATAATAGATAACAGTGACAGACTCATAAGGGCTCTAAATAGATTATCCAAAATATTTTAAAATAACTATACTTAATATGCTTATGAAAATAATTAATAAAAGCAAAACATTTCAAACTGGAAACTACCAAAAAAAGTGATATGAAGATTAGAAGAAGTACAAAATGAAGCTCTAAATCTAAATGTAACAACTGCAATCAGTAGTTAACAGAGGGCTTAGCAGCAGATGAGGCCCAGTAGAAGATCTGCTGAACTGAGCAACAGTTCAGAGGAAGACAGCTCTGTCTACGATGGAAGACAGAAAGATACAAAGATGGAAAATACAAAATAAATGGAGGGCTATAGAGAATATAATAATAGGATCTGACATATGTTTGTTAGGAGCCTCAGATGATCAGGAGAAGGCAAATGGGGCAGGAGATGCAGTGACAGAGAATTTGCTAAATGTGATGAAGGACTTCAATCTGTACATATTTAAAAAACACAATGAACCCCCGAAGAAGATAAAGCAGTAACAGCAGACACAGCAGGGTGCAAGTGCTGAAAACCAAAGACAAGGGGAAAATCTTAAAGACAATGCAGGAGGCGGAAAAAGGCAGCTACTTTCATTGTATCTGCAATTCAATTGTTGGCTGACTCTTGCGGGGAAACAATGGAAGCCAAAAGACCATGGAATGATATCCAAAAGGGTTGAAACACAACCTGGAAAAATATCTTTTAGTACCAAAGAAGGAATAAAGATATTTCAGAGAAACGTAAACTGAGACGATTCACCACTAGCAGACCATACAGAAGCTTTTGTTCTGTATCCTTTGCTGTAATAAACCTTACTTATCTGCAAGTGTTAGCTGTTACTGAGTCTTAGAAAGTCCCTCCAGAAGATCAAAGTTGAGGGTAGGTGTACAATCCCCCAAAACAATATCTAACTGAAATAGATGCACATGTGCACCAACAAACATGTAATTATATGACACCTTTGATGTACAGGTGAACTTATTTCAGTTTTTTTTTTTCTAAAGATTTTATTTATTTATTCATGAGAGACACAGAGGGAGAGAGGCAGAGACATAGGCAGAGGGAGATGCAGGCTCCATGCAGGGAGCCTGATCTGGGACTTGATCCCAGGACCCTAGGATCACACCCTGGACCGAAGGCAGGCGCTAAACCACTGAGCCACCCAGGGATTCCCCTCAGCTTGTTTTCAATTCTAGAGTTTCTCTTGTTTTTCTTTGGGTTTTTTTTTTTTAAAGTAAATATGCAATTCATTCACATGGTTCAAAAGTCACCATTACGGTATGAAATAAAATCAGACCCAAAGAAATCTTCCCTACACCCTCCACTTTGTTCTCTTCAACCCCTGTTCCCATCTCCATCAATGGCTTTTCTGTTCTCCACACAGAAAAGCCAATCTAAAAACAAAACTACTAGAACTAAAAAGTGAGCTTAGCAAGGTTGTGGGATATAAGATCATTATAGAAAAATCTATAGTTTTAGTTTCTGATTTGTCCTCCCAGTATTTATTTTTATGTCAAAAAATGAGCAAATTGTGTGTGTATAATTAATACACATTCAGGGATATGGATATATACCTGGATGAGTACATTTATATATGAGTATATTTATGCATACGTCTGTATCCCTTACCCTATTCTTTTATAACAATCTGGCAAATGTGTTGCTCTGAGTTCTGTGAGCCATTCTAGCAAATAACCAAGCCCAAGGAGGGGGACATGGGAACTCTGATTTATAGGCAGTCAGAAGGATAGTGACAATCTGGGACTTGTGATTGGCATCTGAAGCCAGCTGGAGGAAGAGTGTCTTGTGAGACAAAGCCCTTAACCTGTGGGGTCTGAGGCCATCTTCAAGTAGACAGTATCAGAATTGAATTGAATTGTAGATGTCCCACCCCCCTCGCCAGTTGGCAGTGAAGATAATTGCTTGATGGGGGGGAATAACTACCACACATTTGATAACCAGAGTACAAATGCACTCAGAATACTGTGTGTAGCATAAAGGAAAACAATAGTTTTTTTAATGCACCCCAAAATAATTAAGCTCACCAAGAAGAAACAGATAACTTGAGTAGCTCTGTATTTATTAAAGAAGGTGAAATTTGTAGTTAAAAGTCTTCTCACAAAGAAAACTCCAGGCCAGAAGGCTTCACTGGAGAATTGCATCAAACCTTTAAAGAAATAATACCAATTCTGTATTAAACTCTCCCAGAATATTGACGAGGAGAGAATACTCACCAACATATTCGACCCTGATACCAAAGCCAGAGAAAAAAATAACAGGAAAACCACAGACTAATATCTCTCATGAACGTAGATACAAAACTTCTTAACAAAATTTTAGCAAATTGAATCCAGTATATAAAAAGGATAATATATCACAAGCAAGCAGGATTTATCTCAAAAATGCAAGGTTGGGGCAGCCTGGGTGGCTCAGTGGTTTAGCGCCTGCCTTCGGCCCAGGGCATGATCCTGGAGACCTGGGATTGAGTCCCGCATTGGGCTCTCTGCATGGAGCCTGCTTCTCCCTCTGCCTGTGTCTCTGCCTCTCTCTCTCTGTCTCTCATGATAAATAAATAGTCTTTAAAAAAAAAAAAAAGGAAAGCTTTTACCTTAAAAAAAAATGCAAGGTTGGTTTAACATTCAGAAATGTAATTCACCACATGAGCAGGCTAAAAAAGACAAATCATAGAATCACCTCAAGAGATGCAGAAAAAAACATCTGACAAAATCCAATATCCATCACTGATCAAAAATTCTCAGAAACCATGAAATAGAAGGAATTTCCTCAACCTGATGAAGGGCTTCTATGAAAAATCCCTAGTAAACATCATACTTAATGATGAATGATAGAATGTTTTCTCTCTAAGACAAGGAAAAAGGCAATGATGTCTACTCTCATTTCGATTCACTATTATAATGGAGGTTCGATCCAATGCAATCAGGCAAGAAAAAACAAAAGCAAAGGCATGCAGATGAAAAAGTGGAAAACTGCCTTTTATTGGGGTGGGGGGCCGTTAGCTGACATTATCATCCACATAGAAAAGCCAATCTAAAAACAAAACTACTAGAACTAAAAAGTGAGCTTAGCAAGGTTGTGGGATATAAGATAATTATAGAAAAATCAATTGTATTTCTATGTACTAGCAATGAAGAGTTAGAAATTAAAATTTTTAAAAATATAATATACTACAGCATCAAAAGTGAAATACTTAGAGATAAATACAGTAAAAGAGCTCCAAAATGTGTACTCTGAATATCGTCAAAACATCTTTGACACAGTTAAAGAAAATTTAAGTCAATGGAGAGCTAACTATGCTTGTGTAAAAGATGCAATATTGCTAAGATGTCAATTCTCAGCAAACTGATCTGGAAATCCAATGCAATCCTGTTCAAAAGCCAACAGGCTTTTGTGTAGAAATTTATATGCTGATCCTAAAATTCATACGGATATGGAAAGACTCTAAAATATTCAAAATAATTTTGAAAAAAAAGAAAAAGAAAACTGAAGAAATCATGTTTTTGGGGCACCTGGGTGGCTCAGCAGTTGAGCATCTGCCTTAGGTTCAGGTCGTGACTCCAGGGTCCTGGAGCCTGCTTCTCCCTCTGCCCATGAATAAATAAATAAAATCTTTAAAACAAATTAATAATAATTTCACCATGTTAAAAAAGCAAACAAACCTGGAGGCCACCATTTGTTTATGTGACCGGGCCATGCACTCAGTCATGTAACCGACAAGCTGACTCTGACCTTAAAACATAAGCTTCCCCCGTGTCAGTATGACTTTTCAGTCATGAACAGGTAACGAATATCGCCAATCTCGATAACAAGTCACACCAGGAAACAATGCACTGACTCATGCCTGCTTCCTACACCGTGACTACTGGGCTCTGGGCTTTCTGACCCCTGTCTGTTGGGACCGCTCCTGTTCTCCAACTGTTCCTCACTCAGTAAAACATTCAAACCAAGTAAACCCCATTGGATTTTCTTTAGGTGGTCTTCATAACCCAAGTGCTGGACCTTGATCAGACTGAAATGGCACAGTCAGTGCAATGACCGAATCAGGACCGGGTGAGGAAGAGGACGGGAGTGTTGGTGGTGAAACCACCGAGTGGCCAGTCCACAGATAATGCCCAACTCGGGGAAAGCCGAGAAGTGCGAGCACGGGCCTGCCATCTGGAGATAGGGAAGGAAGGAGAGAGGCTGAAGGCAGAGGTGGCTGTCCCCACGGAGGGCTGGTGGCACAAAGGAAATGAGCGACGGGAAACTGTTGTCTTTCTACATGAATGTCTATTTTCTCTATAGGATGGTGAGACGGACACAGCCCAGCACCTTCTGCTCCATGAGCTGACCACAGCAGAACGCGAGGTTAACCCAAGCGAGTGACCCTCCTTAGGTCTCTGCTCATGTTCACTCCTCTATTGGTTTTAACCTGCTTTTATTCGGGTCTACCTTGCTTTCCATTGCACTGTATTCCAAAAAACATCTGGAACGCTGTTTGAAGGCAGGCAAGCTACGTTTGGGTCCCACATAGCCATATCGTTAGGTGTTCCATTAGACAACTGGATTCAAGTCCGTCTACCCAGCACGTCCAAGGACGCCAGGACGGAATCCTGGCTCTGCCACCACCTAGCTGCATGACGAGGGGCGAGTGACTGGATCTGCCCGTGAATCAGTTTCCTTGTCTGCATCGTGGGGGTGACAAATGGTATACCTCACAGCAAGTCACACGAGGCTGATACGTGGGCGCGTTAGTCTGTACCGGGTAAGCATGATGCTGTTGCTGTGACACCATGGTCAGGGGACTGTGCAACAGGCTCTGGGCACTGTGCAACAGTGGAAATCCCGGGCTCTGGGGTCTGACTCAGAACAAGCCCCTTCTGGCCACATGATTCTGATGAGCATCCCCATCCCACTGTCCCACCGGCTCCCAGGTCTCCCCTCATTCTTACTATGGGATCCTCAGTTTTCAGGCTGAAAACTGGTCTCATCCACAGACCTCGTTGACCATCGCATTCAACGGGACACTCATCTCTGAAGCTCCACAGCCCCACCCAAAATTACCATATAGCATTCACCATGGACGTCCGGAAAATATGTTTCTCCAAGTATAATGGTTCTTGGAGGGGAAGGGAGTGATCTGGCCACCCAGGTGACACATGGTAGTGTCTAGAGACATGTGTGGTTGTCATGGCTGGATGGGGTGGCCCAAGGCATCCAGCAAGGAGGCTCCCAGGATGCTGCAAAACACACCTTGTACAGCACAGTCACTGGTCTGCAGGGTCAGCCGTGTTGAGGTGGAGAACCCTGAGCTGTGATATAAGCTCCTTGAGCACAAGAGCCACATTTATTACTGTTATTCGCCCCCCGAGCCACCTGGGGGTTCACCTGAAGGAATGTCTACCGATAAGCATCCTGGCGGAGTGAAGTAGGCCTTCAGTAAGCGATGGACCTGCACAGGGGGTATGGTTTCCGTTCACCTCCCTATACGGAATGGGGATGTGCCAAGGCCACGCCAGGAGGGGACGCTGAGCCCAGGGTGGCTCGTGTCTGGGTGTGCCTCGCCCTCCTGGCGGGGGGGGGGGTGCGGACAAGGCAAGCGCAGAGACATACGAACTAACGGTGGTGGAGAGGGACGGGCAGCGAGGGCTGAGGGCTACCGCGGTGACCCAGCCGACTACGTGGAAGAAAGGTGCACCCAGTTTGGAGAAAGGGGTATGTAACTGGGAAAGGCTTCCTCCCCAGTGCTGGGACCAGCCAGCGCTCTCTCTCCCGTGTAGGAATTGCTGTGCGGCCCACGCATCCTTAGGCCAGGTGGTACAGGCTGAACTGTAGTGTCTCAAAATCATAGGCTCATGTCCTAAACCCTAGATCCCCCAGAACGTGACCATATTTGGAGGCAGGGCCTTTAAAAAGGAACTCCTTAGGGTCGGCCCTAATCCCTAAGACTGGCATCCTCTACGGGGGAGTCAGGACGCAGACACACAGAGGGTGGACCCCGTGGGGATGCGTCTCGCAGCCCTCAGAGGGGACGAGCCCCACCCACATCTTGACCTTGGCCGCCCTGCCTCCAGACCGCGGGAGAATAAGCGTCTGTTGTTTCAGCATCCGGTCTGCGGAGCTTTGGCAGGGCCGCCTGCGCAGCTGCAAACACTAGGCTGGGGGCAGTTCCAGGCGCCAGGATTGACTTAGGCTATCGTGGGTCACGCGGACACACAGACCCGGGAGGTGTGGGCTGCAGAGAAGAACAGCAGCTGCTTTCATCCCTGCCCGGGAGGGTCACACAGTAAGACGGAAGCACAACTGTGTCTGCGGACTTTTGGTGTTTCCATCACTTGGAAGGGTTATGGCACACGTGCAATAAAAAGCACAGGATACTTATCCCACCTGCCGTCAAACGGGGGTTCCTCCCTGGGGAAGGGAGGCAATCGGGTGGGGTGGCTGTTTTCTTCTTCCACACGGGTACTCACAGCTCATCCTCAAAGCAGATTTTGGCATACTTGTCCTGGCCGCCCCCACTGAGCAAGCGGTAGGCATAGGTGTTCAAGGGGCACGGGGTCCAGTGGTCGCATTTCTGCCTTTTAGGGGTTGGGGCTGCAACAAACAAGAATATAACAGTCAGCATCACGCAGGTGTCTGTCCGACGAACCCTGCTGCCCGGCCGTGATTGGCAGCCGTCCCGTCCTGGGACTTCACACTGGAGAGTCCCGAGAGGGTCACAACTTGTCATCAGCAGCGTCAGAAATTCCCCTGAAGACGCAGTTGATTTCGCCTGCGTTTGTCTTAAAGTAACAACTACGCCGAAGGGACGGGGGTGCTGAGTGGGCGTAACAATTCCAGGAGGGGTGGGAGCCCCTGCCCAGGGCTGGTCAGCTCACTGACGTTCTTGGCACCCACCGTGGGTTTTGTATCGGAACTAAAGAAAGTTCCCTCGGATCTCAGAGTGCTGGCGAACGAAGGAACAGCCACGTATGGGGCATCATTCCAGGCTGCGTTTATGCAACTTGAAACACACACACGTACACACACACACACACCCGGGATGCCCACTCTGGCCACCACTGATCCCTTTCCTTTCACTTGAGCCTGAGGCATTGGGCTTTTCTACTGGGGGTGCCATGAGGTCAGCAGGCCGGGGAGATGTCTCCCCAGCACCCCCGTTTTACAGGGCTTTCCATCAAGGGAGGATGGGGGGCCTGCCTGAGGACCCCAGCTGGCACCAGACAGGCCCACGGTCCTCCCTCACATCCGCCGGGTGCGACGTGGCCATCGCCACCACGTGCACCCCCAGCTCACGTCACTGTCTACAGGACCCGCTACGCTGGGCTCAGGTCAGCTCTAAGTCCCAAGTCCCCAGGACAAGAGCTCAGGAGGTGCTCTCAGTCGTCCGGTTTGACCAGAGACGAGCTGTGCTTCTCTGATCCAGGAAGCTGGTCGGGTGGCGAGGACATGCACACCAGCCCTGGCAGGCCCTGCTGGGGGGAATCGGGGTGTACGTGTTCCCTGCGAAGGCCCAGCGTGCTGCCTGGCCTCGGGGCCTGGAGCTCCCCGGGGACCTCGCACCCCTTCGCACCCTTCACCCCCCCCATCACCTGCCCGGCCGGGGCTCAGCTGCCCGGTTTTCTTTCCTTTGTCTTGGCGCTCAGTGCTCTAATATCCTGTAACTTCCTTTCCCAATGTCACAGACGCTGAACCCTGCCCCGGCCCCGAGCCCCACACCACAGCCAAGAGGGACAGCGAGACTTTCTGAACGCTTGTGCCTGCAGCTCTGGTCCACCTTGACCGATTTTTCTGCCTAGTAGTCTATTTTGTTTGTTTGTTTGTTTGTTTGTTTGTTTGTTTTAAACAAGGAAAGCCCATGAGATTTCCCCTTTCCTTATTTAATTTCTGCAGAAGAAAATTAAACATAACGGGAAAGCAAACTAAAGGGGAAAAAAATCCCATGTATTGTCACTCTGAAGGATCTTTACTGTTTTACCTTTTGGCATATTTTCTTCCAGATTCTTCTGTGCATACAGAGGTTGGTAGGCACAGATTAAACATACTCAGGCCGTATGGTACTTACGTAAATGTTCAAGTAAGACATTCACTATGTTTTTTCTCAATCTCCAGACACCTAAACTTAAAGCCAAGGGCCCAACCATCAACATGAAAAAGTGCTACAAATACAGCATCTTCTCAGTGTCTTGGATTTTAGCTTTTTTTCTTTTTAATTTAATAATATCCATTATGTTAAATGTAGAGGTAATTTACCTGAAAACACAGCGAGCATATCTGAAAATGTAACGTTTTGATGAAAAGCACGTGTCCTGTTTCCTGACTTGCAGACATCCTATATATATATATATATATATATGGCCTTTCTAGAGTGAATACCCTTTTTTTTTAAAGATTGATTTATTTATCGTGAAGATTGACTTATCATTTGAGAGAGCGACAGAGAGAGAGAGCACGCGAGCACAGACGGGGGAGGGGTAGAGGAAGAGGAAGAGAAGCGGATGCCCCGTTGAGCGTTGAGCGTTGAGCCCGACGTGGGGCTCGATCCCACGACCCTGGGATCATGAGCTGAGCTGAAATCAATTGTCGGTTGCGGCTGCGTAAGCCACTGGCCCCCCCCCCCCCGGCGCCCCCAGAGGGAATACTCTTGAAGTGAGATCCACCTTCATCCTACCTGTTACCTGCATTGCCTGAGTACAGGTGACGCTGTCCCCTTTACAAGCACACAGACTTCCTCACTTCTGTGGGGACCCTGCTGTCGACCCTGGCACAGATGGAATGAGAGTCACGGGGACCTGGAACCCGCCCTCTGGTCTGGGAAAACATCGTTTCCAGGTCCTCTTGCCGTTGCCACCGGCCGTAGGGCTGCACTGGCTGCGTGACGCTCTCAACCGAAAGGACGTTAATCTGTATGGCGAGCGCTGGGCGGGCTGACAGGTGTGCCGTGCTGACTGGCAGAGGGGGACGGTCTCCCACGTACCCCACGGATCTTACGAGACAAGGCCGCGGGGGCACATCGTGCCTCCTGACCCCCACATGGTAGGGTGATTCAGAGACGGAATGACAGCACATAGGTACAAAGGTGGCCAGGGTGACAGGACGAGGTGTTTTGCTTTGTTTGAAAGCCAGGAGGCAGGAGTCCACATGGGGGTGGGACCTGGGTGAAGCAGGTCATGAGGAAACGAAGGGACTGGGGCAGCGCAGGCTGGGTCCCAACCTGAGCTCTTCCTTATTCTTCCTCCTGCTGGCGATCCCTCCCGTGCACCTGGGCCTCAGGGACAGGAGCCAGGCGGCCGGCCCAGCGGAGCAAGCACAGTACTGGATGGACAAGACTTGACCTGCCCGTCTCTGCTGCCTTTTTGGCCTTCTTGGCCCTGGATGTTCACCCCAAGGCCTGACGCTGGAGTTTCCCAGGGCGCCCATCCCTGGGGGTCCCTATGGATGATCTCCCATCACCCCTCATCCCGGGCAGGGGGGATGGTCAGTGGCACAACCAGGCAAGGGCCTTGCTGTCCACACAGCAGCCGGCTCCCCTGGGTGCTGCGGTGGGCTGGAAGCAGGACCCTGTGCCTTCCCAGGAGTGCTGAGGGCAGGTCTTCTGAACCTGTGGCCCTGCCGCTCAGAGGCCCCGGGGAAATGTGGGTGCCCTTCCTGTGGATAGGCACAGGTGCACTTTCTAGAAGGGAGGTGCTTGATTCTCATCAGATTCTCCAAGGAGAAGGTGGCTCTCGTGACCAGGGATGACACGGAGGAGGTATTATCTTGAAGTGCCTGAGAATGGTTGGGGAGTCTGCGTGGCATCTCAAAAAGGCTTTTTTAACCTTCTACCCATTCCCTGGAAGCACAAAATGTTATTATGGGATCAAAGAAAGATCAGGGGCACCTGGGTGGCTCAGTGGACGAGCGTCTGCCTTCAGCCCAGGGTGTGATCCCGGGGTCCTGGGATCGAATCCCACGTCGGGCTCCCTGCAAGGAGCCTGCTTCTCCCTCTGTCTGCGTCTCTGCCTCTCTCTGTGTGTCTTTCCTTCTTTAGGATGGGGCCGTGGCGGGGTAGACACATCTCACAAGACAGAGCTCTTGCCAAACCCCGCCTCTTGTCCATCATATACCCCAGTAGATTCACTCCCTAATTCCACGGGATTCTTTTTTTTTTTTTAATTTTTATTTATTTATGATAGTCACACACACACACACAGAGGCAGAGACACAGGCAGAGGGAGAAGCAGGCTCCATGCACCGGGAGCCCGATGTGGGATTCGATCCCGGGTCTCCAGGATCGCGCCCTGGGCCAAAGGCAGGCGCCAAACCGCTGTGCCACCCAGGGATCCCCCACGGGATTCTTATTACACAGATATTTACTCAAAAAACATCTGCTAAGTACCAGATACTGCGTTGCCTCTAGGTTCTCTGCATTTTTTTTGAAATTCTTTCCCCAAAGACCGAATAGGAAAGCCCACGTGACGGTGCGGGAACTGATGCCCAGGCAGGAGGAAGAGGCCTGTGCCTCAGGGTCCTGCTTACCCGTCTCCTGAGACACCTGCCTGTTGGTGTAAGTAAGACCCTGAGCCCCGATCGGCGCTGTGGCTCCAAAAGAGCGGGCCTCGTGCTGCGAATTTTGGTCTTAGAAACCATTTTCTTGCTGAGGGAAGTCTTGCCTTATTTCTTATCCTTGCATTCGCTAAAACAAATATAGGTTCTTAGGCGCCACCTCGAACCCATAGATTTTTTAATTTCCTGGAGTGGGGTCCAGGAATCTGTCTCTTTGAAATACTTCCTGATTTGGGAACCATGACAACGCTCACCCCTTTAGACGAGGAAGGTGACTCTAGAAATGTGATCCTGCCGTTTATGCCAGGCAAACAGGAAAGGTGCTCCCTGGGTGTGCGTCTGACCACATTTCAGCCATGTCAACTCGCCTCATTGTTCCCAATGAGATTAAAGTCCAGTCCACAGAAATAAAAGCCAGAAGGCACCCAAAGAGTGCCGGTCTCCCTGATGAGGAGCGACAATGATCTCTTGGGTGCCCCGAGGGCTGTGAGGTGGCACAGACTGTCAACGCTCCGCTCCATCAGGCTCGGCGGTACCAATGCGGAAGGATGCCAAACCCCACGGAGAGACGGGGCGGGCGCAGCACTGTCACCCTCGTGGGCCCCTGTCCCCACGTTCCCCCCCCCCGATTCCTGCTTCTGGGCCCTCACTGTGGGGGCACGGACACGGGAGCCAGGTGGGGCGCTCAGGCCCTACCGGCTACCGTGGTTTTTGGAGGACCTCGCACCGTGCAAGGCAGGGGCCAATCTGGAACTAGAAAGAGCCTCTGACATAGAGACGTGTGCCGTGTCCCTTCTGGGTCATTGTCGGAGGCCATGACAACTAGCTAGTGGCAGAATTAGAATTGAAAGTCGTTTTTCCAGCTTTTTGCCACAACAGCAGCCACTTAGTGGTTGTTAGCTCCTTGGGTCTTGGCTGAGAGTCTAGGAAGGCAGATCGGGTTGGCTTGGCTCCATCGCACGAGGGCTTCTAAGAGAATGACTCGATGACCGCACAGCTGAGGCCCACGGGCGAACATTTCAACAGGATTCTCCTTCCACGTACTCTCCCCTGAAACCGACCTTCGAGGTCTAGGGTCGCGAGCTGCGGGTGGGGGGCGTACGTGGCTTCCAACCAGACTCACCCCTCCGCGGGCGCACACTCCCCATCTCATAGACACGCACTGCAGAAGTACTTGTTGAACACCCCACGCGTCCTCAGCTCCACAGGCCAGCAGCGGTGTGAACCCAGGAGGGCACGGACCCGCGGGGTAAGAATTACCTTGGGAAAGCCCAAAGCCAGCCTCACAGGGCCTCTGCAGCCGCACAGGGGGTTGAGTCACTTTAAGAGAATAGTTTATGAAGCAGAAAAGCAACCCAAGGATTAAGGTGAAAGTCCAAGGGGTAGGGGAGCGGGCGTCAGGGCCAAGCGCAGGTGGGCTCAGTCCAGGCGGCCTCGGCCACGGGAGGGGTGGGGGAGTGCTCCGTGCTGGCCTCTGGCTCCTCGGCCCCTTTCTTTTGTGCCCAACACTAATCTCACATGTCAACATGCTCCTTCCTTTGCTTCAGATCAGACCAGACGCCAGGGGTCACTGAGGACATTTAGGACAAACACTCCCAGGGAGGCGTCAGGGTCACGCTGCTGAGCCAACAGTATGACCTATGCTCCTTCTCGAGCCCTGTCCAAAGCCAGGTGTACCCTGTGCTCCATGGGCAGAGGAATGCAGGTGTTTATGGGGGTCCAGGCACCCGCTAAGGGCTGTGCAGGCAGCGTCTGGCCAAAGAGGCCTTGTGCTTGCATGGGGGCCACTCTCTGGGGCACTGACAACGGCATGAAATGAGCCCTCCCCAGAGCCACAGAGCGCCAAGGGCGACGCAGCCCGCTTTACTCTTATCGACATAAGCGCAGGACCACCAATAACTCACTAGGCTCAACCCCCAAACTCCGAGCCCACCAGACGCCCAGGAAACCCTGGCTCCCTCCAAAGTGGAGCCAGGACACAGCCCTCATGCCAGCCGCAGCCACCCCTCCCCCCCGCTCCTGCCACCTTTGGGTTTCCGGTAACCATACAGCGCTCCAGTCCCAGGGGCAGGTGTCCAGGCTTCCCTGGCCCACCCTGGGGGGAACGAATGAGCCCCTTCTCAGACGACAGAGGCAGCTCCTAGGAGGGAGCCCGACATGGGACTCGATCCTTGGTCTCCAGGATCAGGCCCTGGGCTGAAGGTGGCACTAAACTGCTGAGCCACCAGGGTTGCCCTAAATTTGTTTTCCTAACATCATAATTTGCCTTGGGGTCTCACAGAGGGATGAGCAGGGGTATTTACCTTGGAAGGGTGTGGGAACGGAAGGGGCAGGTATTACCTCCTCCTCCTTCCCTTCTTCTCCTTCCCCTCCCCTTCCCCATCCTCCTCTTCTCCCCCTTCCTCCTCCCCTTCCCCACCCTCCTCCTCTCCCCCTTTCTCCACCCCCTCCTTCCTCCTCCCCTTTCTCCTCCCTTCCCTTTCCCCCTCCCCTCTTCCCCTCCCCTCCCCATTTGTCCTCCCCCTCCTTCCCCAACCCTCCTTCCCCTCCCCTCCTCCTCTTCCCCTTCCCCTTTCTCCTCCTCCCTCCCCTCCCAGCTCCTCCTCACTGCCCTGATCCTCACCAGCACCACCACCACCACCACCACCACATGGCCAGCTGGGGCAGAGCTGAGGCCGGGGACCCCCCCTCCTCGCGCTGCAGCTGAGCCGCAGAACTGTTAGTGGGCACCCCCCCACCCCACCCCACCCCACCCCTGGGACTGGTACTCACCCTTGAGGAGGGGCTTCTCAGCAATGCTCCGGAAGCCGTAAACAGCTCTGGTCAGGGACACCTCTGGAATGAGCTCTGCCAGCAGGTACCCGGAATACCAGGCGCTTATGGAGGCAAAGAAGAAGAACGCGGCCTTCAAAGTACCTGGGGACAGACACGGGGCAACTGTGGAGGCCCAGGGCACGGGGGCCACCCTGACCCCACTTCCTGCGTCAGCGCCTGCAGGGTGCTGTGGGGACCAGGTCCTCCCAGGGAAGTGGCAGGTGGGTAGGGGCCTGGGGGGCGGGGCAACGAGGCCCTGAGACTTGGCTGGCGGTGCCGAGACTCTTGAGGTCACAGCAGCAGATAATAGAAACGAGGTTTGAATGTTTTCTGCACCAAGTTTTTATTCGTGCTGCTGGTCTGGGTTTCAGAGCTTCCTCCAGTGCTAACACCAGTGACTCGTTAGTGGCCTTGTGACCCAACAAGGGCCTAAAAAGACAAAAGTGGCTCATTCCTTTGTGAGACAATCAGATTGGAGGAGCCTTTTGGAGGCAGACTGACAATTCCAGAGGGCAGGGATTGTTTTGTGTATGCTGAGAACAGCACCTGGCATCCTGTGAATATGCAAAGGGTCCCCGTAACATTGGGAAAAGCACCAAACCTGTCATTATCATCACAGACAAGCATACAGGGAAACCTAAATTTTGCAGCAGAAGATCCCTGGAGGTAATCTTTCTGGTTGATTGGCTCTGGTATGTTCCCCCCAATTTTTTTTGTTTTAAAGATTTTATTTATTTATTTGACAGAGAGAGAGAGAGAGAGAGAGAGACGAAGCATAAGCAGGGGGAGCGGCAGAGAAAGAGGAAGAGCCTGACGTGGGGCTCGATTCCAGGACTCTGGGATCATGACCTAAGCCGAAGGCAGACACTTCGCCGAGTGAGTCGCCAGGTGCCTTTCTTCTTCCCAATATTTAAGGAAAAGACATTACCCGCTCCTAGGTCACAGGAGGCCTAGCAAAGGACGGGGGGTAGGAAAGAGAAGGGAGGGCTGGGGAGGGACCTCCCACCTGACCCCACAACCACCTGCACCTGCCTCACTTCTGTACACACTCAGGCCAAGTGCCTGGAAATAGCCATCCCCTCCCACGGCCCCCGGGGCTCACCTCGCACCCCCTGGCTCAGGGCCGCTGTGCTGGTCAAGGCCTCCAAAGTCCTCAGTCCCCGGATGACAGACACCCCCATGTGTGTCCCCCCTGGATGACACCCATGCTCCTGAAGGCGCTCCCACTTTGCGGGCACCTCCCGGCCTTCTCTGCTGGCATTCCCTCCCAGGGCACAGCCTGGGCCTCTCCTCTGGACCCCAGGATTAGCCCACCCAGACAATCCTCTGAGCTCCTGACAGGGCTGCCCAACTGCCAACCTGCCGTCTGCGCCCTGGGAGGTTGGGGCCTCACACTTCGCACGTCCCAGAGGAAAACCCTTCATTCTCCCCCCCCCCGCCCCGCCAGATCTGCCCCTGGCCCACATCTGGACCATCTCAGTGGATGGACGGGGTCAGGTGCCAGACACCTGGAAACCTTCCTTCGTTTCCCTCCCGGCGCTGATGGGATCCGCCGGCCAGTCTCGTCGGGGTCACCTCCACCATAAATCTCACCTCCACAGGCTTTTCTTCATCTCTACTGCCCCCCCCTTCCCAGGCCACCACCATCACTACTTCCCTCTTGATGGGGGTTGGGCGGGGTGGGGGTGGGGGTGGGGGGAGTAACAACCCCACACCCTGCTGCGTTCTACACAGTGTGTGGACTCGCCACAGGGGATGCGATAAAGGTCGTTTCTGGACTTTGTCCCATCTCCTGGCACAGACCGCCTACAGCCCTTGGTATCCTCCTGGTAGGACTATCTGCTGTTATTCTCCAGAGGCCCCTTTCGGCCACACCTGAGCCAACGCTCACAGGACAGACGTCAAGGAGTGTCCCCAGGTGGCTTTAAGGGAGAGGATTGGAGGGCTTGAGGGCTCCGCCCGGCCTCTGACCTCCAGGAAGGAGACGAGACGGGGAGCCTGAGGTGGCTCTGCAATCACCGAAGAACTCTGGATTCCCGAAGCCCGATGCTGGGCCCCCTCCTGATAGCAAATGCACGCGTGCGTGTGTGTGTGTGTGTGTGTGTGTGTGTGTGTGTGTGAGGACGTTGATACACCATGACCCCAGGGGCAGAGGCCCAGAACTCCGAGGCTGGGGCCCTCCCAGTCTTCCACCCAGAGGCTTCCTCGTATGGCTGGCGCTCCGGATCCGTGGACCGTCCTCAGGGGGTGTTCCCTCGGATGGCACATTTCAGTTTCATGGGACGAGCTGGTCTTTTCCAAGCGTGCACGCCAACGTCCGTTAGGTTCCTCCATTATTCCAAACCGTGCGGCCCCTGAGCCTGTTAGAAGGTTACGCAGGGGTGGCTTCTGTAAGGACAGGGTGGCCGCTGCAGTTTGCGGGGCTGAAGGGACACCTCCACGCTGGGGAAACGAGCCACAGGAAACAAGCTGAGAGCCACGGGCTTGGCTGACTCCGTCCCCACAACTCCTGTTGGCTCTGCGCTGGTCACACTGATCCGCGAGCCTCGGCCCTGTCCTGCCAGGGACCTTGGTGTGAGTCTGTCCCTCTGCCTGCAGGGCATGCTCCTCCGTGACCTCCGGCCTTCTCTCTGTCCCTCCAGGGCTCCCCAGACCTCGGCGCAGCCTGCCACACAGCCCCTCATCAGCCCTTCCCGTGTCTTGTTGGCACTGCACACCGAGGGTCTTCCCCCTCCGGGGCTGTGCCCGCACACCAAGACAGTGCATGGGTCACAGAGGTTCCAGAAAATTCTTTCAGAGGCACACCGAGCAAGCAGTGCGGTGTGCCTGCTGGAAACGGAGTCAGTATCGATTGGTTCAAGGGCAACAATATGCCTTTGTGTCCTGTGTGTGTCAGATCGCAGCTGGACTCTTTTAACCAAGTGTCATATTTAAGGAAGACAATGGGCAAACCAGAGACGCATTTGCAGGATCTTCTGGTCGCCACGTCTCGGGTGAGGTCTCTGAGCAGAGGTGCTGTTTAGCTCGGAGGACACCGAAACAGAACATGATGCTACCTTCCAAATGTGTAGAGACAGCGACACGGAAGGGAGACGTGACTCTGTCCCCAGCTGAACAAGGACACACGAATGGAAGTGACAGGGAGGGTCATGATGAACGCGCCCTCAGCCGGCCTGCCTTGCAAGCAATAAGCTCCCAATCCCGGACGCTTCCCGGGAAAGCGGAAAGCATCGGTGCTTCAGGTGAGGGGTGAGCGGTGACGTTAGGCCTGGGGAGAGCTGGTTTCTGCCGTTGGCCCAGAAAAGCCAAGACCTAGAACTAGAGCCACCTCGAGGCGGAAGGAGAGACCAGGCGGCATGGACTGGGACCAGTCCACCAGGAGAGTTTGGTGGCCCATGCCAGCGGCCAGCTAGACCGGCAGCCAGTGCGCAGGCCTTACGGTCGCAGAAGTAGCCCAGGTGCCAGGGGAACTTACGCTGGAGGAGACAGCAGTCCTAAGACCAACTTGCACTAAGCCAGGCTACAGGTAGGGGGATCCCAGGGCACCATCTACCCCTCCAGCCCCGGGGACCCTGAAGAAGGCAACTCCGAACCCCTCAAGAACACATTTTCTTTGGTGGGATCTCCCTCAGCATGAAGCAGGGTGAGGAAGCCGTCACCAGCGGCCTCGCCAACATGAACCCAAATCCCCTTGCCCTGCACCTCCTGCACCTCTTATCCTGGGGGGGCGGCAGGGGTACGAGAGGGCTGAGGGTGGATGAGCCCTACTCGTCCTCCTCGAGACTCGGCTGCTTTGGCCTCAGCACGCACTGCTGTCACTGTCCTCCTGCTGGCTGAGGCTTCACGGCAGAAAGGCTGGGAAACGTCACGCCCGAACGCCACAGTAGGTTTGGAAGGTAGCCTGCCTGGGAAGTTTCACACACCAACGCCCTACTTTGGAGGGGTTAGGATGACCGCTACCAGGCGGCTGCCCCACAGGTGGCGGTGGCTTAACTTACTCCACCCATTCGGTCGGAATGTCCCTCCTGTGGACTTTCTACCTGGGACAGACCCAGAGGCTGACTGACCCAGGAAAATGCTGCTTCTAAGAATGTTGCCGAATCCTGAGCTCACAAAATCCAAAGGAACATGGTTCCGAGTTTCTGCAGGTGACTCTCCCCTAACCACACACGTCCATATGAACACAAATCTGCTGTTAGGTCAAAGCTTTATGTGAAAGGACCACATGGCCCATGAACGACTCACAAGGGCTATGTGAGAAAGAGGTGTGGGTAGGAAGTAACCAGCAAAACGTTTTCAAGAAAATAAAGTAGAGGGGATCCCTGGGTGGCGCAGTGGTTTGGCGCCTGCCTTTGGCCCAGGGCGTGATCCTGGAGACCCGGGATCGAGTCCCACATCGGGCTTCCGGTGCATGGAGCCTGCTTCTCCCTCTGCCTGTGTCTCTGCCTCTCTCTCTCTCTCTCTCTCTCTGTGACTATCATAAATAAATAAAAATTAAAAAAAATAAAATAAATTAAAAAAAAGAAAATAAAGTAGAGGGATGCCTGGGTGGCTCAGCGGTTGGGCATCTGCCTTTGGCCCAGATCCTGGAGTCTCAGGATCAAGCCCCGCGTCAGGCTCCTTGCATGGAGCCTGCTTCTCTCTCTCCCTGTGTCTCTGCCTCTCTCTCTGTGTCTCTCTCATGAATAAATAAAATTATATATAAAAAAAGAATATAAAATAGAGGGGTGCCAGGGTGGCCCCATTGGTTAAGCATCTGCCTTTGGCATGGGCCATGATCTCGGGGTCCCTGCTCACCGAGGAGCCTGCCTCTCCTGCTCCTGCTGCTTGTGTTCTGTCAAATAAATAAACAAATAAAATCTTAAAAAAAAAAAAAGAATGTAATATGGAAATAATGAGGGGCACCTGGATGGCTCAGTGGTTGAGCATCTGCTTTAGGCTCAGGGCATGATCCCAGGTCTGGGGATTGAGTCCCACATTGGGCTCCCCTGCAGGGAACCTGCTTCTCCCTCTGCCTGTGTCTCTACCTCTCTCTGTGTATCTTTCTTGAATAATTCTTTTTTTTGTTTTAAAAGGAAGAATGAAAAAAAATCTTCCAAAATAGCTATGAAAGTCAGTGCCCCAAGAGAGATGTTTTCTCCCCCGCCAAAAAGACCTATTTCCACCCATTTATCCTACAATCCACACGAGTTACCAAAAACAGTGCCATTCATAAAGTTTTGCAGAGAACATGACTATTTCACACGATAAAGAAAAACCTTAAACTCTTGTCTTCCCAAACTTTGGGAACGGAGCCGCAAGGGTGGCACTTAGAGCTTTCTGGAGTGTGCCCCACCGAAAGGCGGTTTAGTCCACCACCTACCCGGCAGACCAGCTGCCCTCCTGGGAGGGGGAGGTGGCCACCACAGAGAATTCACCATTTCTGAACTTCCCATTTTTGCACAAGATATGCTCCCTTGCTCCAGAAGGAATCCGGATTCCTCAGATTATAGGAAGCAAACAGCAAACCGAACCAGGAAGGCAAAGGTGGGTAGGTCCACCGGGGAACCCCAGAGCAGCCTGTAAAGCAAGGCCGGCAGGCCAGTGGCCGGCAGATGCGGAGGTCAGGACCGGCCGGCTTTGAGAGACCACATGGCTGGCGGGATGAGCATTTTGTTTTTTCTTCCCTTTTTCCTTCCCCCCCCCCCCCAAGCCTTGTGCAGGCTCAAGTGATTTGATACTTGGGGGAAAAAAAACTTAAAAGCGGCCTCACGAAAGGGATGCAGGCACAACTTTTACAGTGGGTGTCAATGGAGCAGTCCACATGAATCCATCCCCACTTGCCAGCCACTCACATCCCCAGGCCACTTAAAAAGGCTGCCTCAGTGTCCCTCGCTTTTCCTAACTTCCTAGGCTGGTCTGGCCAGTGCAGCGCCAGGTGGAGCCCACGAAGCAGCCCCGTGGGGGGGGGGGTGCCGGGCCCGGGGCATCCCGGCAGGCACAGCCCCCCTGCTTCCCGTGCACCTGCTCCAGCCGCACCTGCCCTCCCCACACCTACTCTGCAGGCAAAGCCTCCGGCTCCGGACCCTGCGCGCGCGGGGGGACCCAGCGAACCGGCCCCGCAGGACTGGAGCCCGCGATTCTGCTCCCGGGGCGGCGGGGAGACCTGCGGGGGTGGGGGTGGGGGTCCCGGGGAGGGCCAGGGCGCCGGCTCTGCACCGCTCCCGCCGCGGGGGTCGCACTCACCTGCAGTCCAGGGGCGCATCTTCGGGCGCAGCTCGCCGGCGACCGCACAGGGCCTCGCAGGGGCCGCGGGCGACCGGGACGCGCCCTCGAAGCGCACAAGAGGTGCAAAGGGCGGGCAGAGGGGCCTCACGGAAGCGCAGGCCGGCTCGGGGCCGGGCGGGGGCTGGCCGGGCAGGCGCCTGCAGATCCGGCAGGTGCGGGCCGGCAGGTGCGCGGGGCGGCGCCCACGAGCTCCACCAGCCTGCGGCCCAGGAGGGATGCTGCCCCCGCCCCGCCGACAGGGGGCCCGGAGTAGGGACAGGGTCTGTCCCCCGGGGGGAGGACCCCGTGTCCCTTAATAGTTCGCAGCCCCAGCCGCCAGTGCAATGTCTCCGGAGGGGAAATGGCTACAAAGAGAAGCAGGTCCTAAGCCGAGTCCTCGCATGCTCCGAGTTGGCGGCCGGCCCCGGGGCCGCGTCAGAAGGCTCCTGCTTCCTCCAGAACAGTCCTGCTGCCCGCTGTGGGTTGCACAGCTCCGCACGGTCCTCCACCTCTTGCTTCCTCCTTCACTTCGGGGGCCCGTTTGGGGGAAACCAAGGACAGTGCCCGCAGCCCCACGGTCAGGGTCGCAGACCTGCGGGTCCTTTGGTCCACACAGAGGCCGAGGTACCAGGGTGGGAGTCTGGCAGGTGTTTGAAGACCGCTTCCCGGAGCTGCCCCAGCTGCTCTCCCTGCAGACCTACGTTCCAGACACCCATCAGGTGCTCTTTGGAACACACTGTAGTCATAGTGGCCTCCGTCGGCCAAGGGCGAGTTAAGGCTCCAAGGGCAGTTGGTCACTTCTGCAGAAGAGTGTTCCAGGTGGGCAGGGCTCTGCAAAAGACCCACCTCCACTCCCAGAGCCCGCGGGCTCCGCAGTTCTGCTCTGTTCCTGTTTCTCCTTCCCTGAAAAGCCCAGAGGTCTTACCTCATCCCAGGATGCTCACCACCCTGCGGGGTGGCACAAAGGACTTGACCGTGACCCTGCTTCACCACTGTCTTTGCCTCCTAAGGAGCTCCTGTGTGGCCCCATCCAGGGAGCCTGGGGACACATGTCCTGTGGATGGCTTGGCTTTACCCTTCCAGGTCAGTCCTCCCCCGACTGTCTCCCCAATCAGGGGGCTCAGAAGACAAGGTCCCCACAGTCCCCAAGACATGTGCCTGAGCATGGCACATTTCAGTTTGGATGCCACCTCTGGGCTGCTCCACAGCAACACTCAGAAGCCATTCTCCAGCTGTTCCTAACACGTCCATCACAGCAAGTGCATCAGTCCATTAAAGTAGGTCTTGGTCTCATTGACCAAGAGTCTCACTTGTGTCTGGCTCACCTGATTTTGGAGATTGAGCTTTTTTATGTCCTGTTCTGTTTCATTTTCTTTTTAATTGTGGTCCCAAAAAAATGCATAACATAAAATTTACTGTCATTTCAAAATTTAAAAATTTACATTCAAGTGCAGAGTTCAGTAGTGTCAAGTACGTTCACATTGTGGTGCAACAGATCTTAAGACCTTGTCTTACAAAACTGAAACTCTGTCCACATTAATATCAACTCACCTTCCCCCACCCTCAGCTCTTGGAAACCACCATCCTACTTTGCTCCTATCAATTCAACTACTTCAGAAACTTCAGCCAAGGGGCACCTGGGGTGGCTCAGTTGGTGAAGCGTCTGCCTTCGACTGAGGTCATGATCCCAGAGGCCTGGGGTCGACTCTTCCTCTCCCTCTGCCCCTGTTTGTGCTCTCTCGCTTGCTCATTTGCTCTCTCTCTAATAAATAAATAAAATATTCAAAAAAAGAAAAGGTAAGAACTTCACCCAAGTAGAACATACACCATTTGTCTTTTTATGACTAGCTCATTTCACTCAGTATAAAGCCCTCAGGGTGCATCCATGTTGTAGCATGTGACAGGATTTTATTCTTTTTAAAGGATGAATAATATTCCATTATATGCGTATTCCACATTTTGTTTCTCCATTAATTTGTTGATGAACACTTGGTTATTTCCACCTCTTGACTACTGTGAATAATGCTGCTGTGAACATGGATGTGCATCTCTTCCGGACTCCATTTTCAATTATGTTGGGTACATACACAGAAATGAGATTGCTGGGTCATTTGGTAATTCTGTTTTTAAGTTTTTAAGGAAACACCATGCATGCAGTTTCCCCACAGTGGCTGCTCCATTACAGTACGAGTATTGGCTGCCCCAATAACAACGTACAAGTATTCCAATTTCTCCACATCCTCACCACCAACACGTTTTGTTTTGCTTTTTAAATTTTCAAATAGAGTCACCCTAATCTCACTGTAGTTTGATTTGCATTTCTCTGATGTTGAGCATCGCTTGTGCTTGTTGGCCACCCGTGTATCATCTTTGGAGAAATGTCTGTGCAAGTTCTTTGCATTTTTTGTAGTCTGGTTTCATTGTTCTTGCTGAGTTGTATGGGTTCTTTAAATATTCTGGATGCTAATTTCTTATCAGATTAAACAATACTGAAATATCAGTATTGTTTGCAAATATATTTCTTGATTCCATAGGTTGCCTTTTCACTCTGTTGATTGTGTCCTGATTGTGTTGATTGTGTCCATAGTTTTTGAATCTGACATAGTCTCATTGATCTATTTTTGTTGTTGTTGCTAGTGCTTTTGGTGTCCTATCCAAGAAATCATTACCAAATCCAATGTTATGAAGTTTTTCTCCTATGTTTCCTGTAGAAATTTTACAGTTTTAGGACCTACATTAAGGTCCTTAACCCATTTTGAATTACTTTTTGTAGATGGTATTAGGAAGGACCTAACTACAGTCTTTCAATGTGAATGTCCCGTCCTCCCAACACCATTTGTTGAAGAGACTGCCCTTTCCCCACTGAATGGTCTTAGCACCCACGTTAAAGGTCATTTGACCATATATCCAAGGATTTCTTTTTGGGCTCTCTAGTATATTCCATTGATCTATACAGAATCTGTCTTTATGCCAGTACCATTTGATTACTGTAGCTTTATAATAAGTTTCAAAATCAGAAAGGGTAAACCTTTTAATTTTTTTCTTTTTCAAGATTGTTTTGGCTATTTAGAGTCCCTTAAGATTCCACAGGAATTTTAGGTTGGGCTTTTCTATTTTTGCAAAAAAAAAAAAAAAAAAAAAAAAAAAAGAAAAAGAAATCATCAAGAGTTCGATAGGGCTTGCATTGAATCTGTAGATTGTTTTGGATGGTATTAATAATAGCTGTAAGGACACTAAACCTCCCAATCTGCAAACACCAAATGTCTTTTCATTTATTGGTTATTTCCTTAATTTCTTTCAGCAATGTTTTACAGTTTTTAGTGTATAAGGCTTTCACTTTCTTGGTTAAGTTAGGGTTTGTTTTGATCTTGCTCTTATCACCTGCATCCCGACTCTATTGCCCATTCTCAGCAGGTTTATAACAAACATGGCTACTCGAATTCTCCCTAGCAGCTCCATTAAAAAAAAAAAAAAAAAAAAAAAAAAGACATACTTTCCATTTCTGATCTATACTAAGGAATATTTTTTTTTAAAGAGGAAGTGCTATGTATATTAACTGAAAAATGTAAAGTAATCATAAAGTTAATAAAAGGCAGAATGATTATTTAAATAAATTACTATTTAAACTCTTGGAACTCTACTCAGGAACTTAAAATTATTGTTACTGAGATTACATATCACAGGGACGCCTGGGTGGCTTAGTTGATTGAGCGGCCGATCTGGACTGTGGCTCAGGTCATGATCTCAGGGTCCTGGGACTGAGCCCTGCGTTGGGCTTCCTGCTGGGCGGGGAGTCTGCTTAAAGATTCTCTCTCTCCCCACTTCTGCCCTGTCCCTCCGTTAGTGCTCTCATGCACTGTCTCCCCCTCCAAAAGAAATAAATCTTTAAAAAATTATATATTACTCGTAATATACATGGGAAACATATATGAAATGCACATTAAGTGAAGAAGTGGGAATAGAAGTGCACATTTATGCATATACGAAGGCTAGAAGGAAACATAGAAAGCAAAAAAAAAAAAAAAAACCAAAAAGGCTGCATTTACCTGAGCAAACTATAAAGTCACATTCGTTTAACAAATCTTTTAAATAAACAAGCACTACGAGATATGGAAGCTACATAGTGTTGATCGGTAGAGGAGTGGATAAAGAAGATGTGGTGTGTGTGTGTGTGAGTGTACAATGGAATACCCTCAGCTATAAAAAAAGATTGAAATCTTGCCATCTGGGACAACATGGACCTAGAGAATATTTATGCTCAGTGAAGTGAAGTTAGAGAAAAACAAATCCCATATGATTTCACGTCTATGTGGAATCTAAAAAAAAAAAAAAAAAAAAAAAAAACCAACAAAACGAACAAAAACAGAAGCACTCATAAATACAGAGAACAAACTGCTGGGCGCCGGAGGGGTGTGGGGGGTGGAGGAGGGGGGAAATAGGTGGAGGGGATGAAGAGGCACAAACGTCTACGTGTAAAATAAGTAAGGCCCAGGGATGAAAGGTACAGTTTACTACCTCTGTAGGGCGGCAGCCGGTAACCGGCGGTGGGGAGCGCGGTCTAACTCCCAGCAAGGCGCGCAGCCGCTGAATCTCTAGGGCGCACACGTGAAACTGACACTACGTGGTCCCCCCTCAATTCACTCGTGGGTCCCTGGGCCACCAGCTCATCTTCCCAGCTCTTCCCCTCACCCGGCACCGAGGGTCTCCTCCCCAGGGACAGCCACTGTCACTACTAGCAGTTCCCAGCCCTCAGAGCCAGCCTCTGCGTGTGCAGACCTGAATGTGTTTCCCGCAGCCCTTTTACACAAAAGACAGATTGTGCATGGTGTTTCACAACCTACCTTTTGTGCTGTAACATCTTAGAAAGCTTCGTACATAAACACACCCAGGATTTCTTTTTTTCTTTTCTTTTTTTTTTTTTTTTAACACTGTTGGTTGAACATATCTTTAAAATAGGTGCGGAGGGCAGCTTGGGTCATTTTGAGCCTTTTGCACTATTAACGACGTTGCAACGAATACACACCTTCATGCACCCACCTGGGCAATAAATACTGAGGCGGATTTAAAATAGACGCCTGGAAGTGAATTACTGAATCAGAGAGTGTGTG